TGCAGCACAGATCACACACTCAGACCAACAGCCCGCCCGACAGACAGACAGACAGACCAAGCAATGAGCTTACCTGTGAGGCAGTTTGGTCCACTGAATCCTGCTGGGCAGATGCAATCTCCTGTCTCATCATCACACACTCCTCCATTGCAGCACAGATCACACACTCAGACCAACAGCCCGCCCGACAGACAAACAGATCAGGCAATGAGCTTACCTGTTAGGCAGTTTGGTCCACTGAATCCTGGTGGGCAGATGCAATCTCCTGTCTCATCATCACACACTCCTCCATTGTAACACAGATCACACACTCAGACCGACAGCCCGCCCGACAGACAGACAGACCAGGCAATGAGCTTACCTGTGAGGCAGTTTGGTCCGCTGAATCCTGGTGGGCAGATACAATCTCCTGTCTCATCATCACACACTCCTCCATTGTAACACAGATCACACACACCTGCACAGGCAGGAGGACCCCACTTGCCAGCAGCACAGCCTACATGGATTGAAATTCAAGAGGCATATTCATATTTACCATTTTTACACTTTAATATATATGAAATGATTTTAATGCACCCATTCATATTAATGACAACATAACAAAAAACTGACCATTGACCTGGCTTAAATGTATATTTAATACCAAATTCAGCAGAATTATGGCATTTGATACAGGTTTATTCGGTACATTGCAGATGTTTCTAACAATACACCCTTTACAATTAAAGCCACAGTTGAGGAAGAAGAACAATTGAGGTACTAGTTACGCATCCCTGTCACCAACGAACGAAGACGGACCATCATAACTGATGTTAGGTGACAGGGATCTATACAAATAAGGCATCTATTTTTACTGAAGATACAAACAAAAACTATAACTGCACCGCTCTCCACAAAGTCCTGCATCTCCCAAATCATTGTGTCAATATAATCATCAAACTTGTCTTTACATAAACCACAAAAATGCTGCATGACAAAATTTACCTCTGACTATGAGTCTAATCATACTGAAATGATTGTCAGTGAGGTGAACAGCAGATCCGATGACAGCATACAGATCCCCATCAACAGCATCAGTAGAGGGCACTGTGAAACTAGGCTGATCGAAATTATTGAAATTTGAAGTAACAGCTCCATTTCTAATACGACGCCACAGAGGAGAGCCACCGGAATTTACTGTGATGACTGAGAGAGTCACATCCTCTCCTTTGTTGACCGTATTTGTAACCAGGCCATCAACAGGCTCAAACCTCCCTACATAAGAAAGACATAAAATGTTGGTCATGAATTTCACACGTTGAAAGATTTCAATCTAAAAAGGCAAGTTTAAACTTTTTTTATACCATACAGAGGCATATATACAAAATACATGAAAACATGGTGCTATCACATCTCACAAATGTTTATGTTCCACCAAGCAAACCTTCAAGTCTTACTCGATCTAAACATACATGTTGGTAGTTGGTACTTTAAAATATCTTTTGCAGTTGATATTATATATTCAAAACTTCTCCGACAGTTCATAGCTCGAATGCATTCTTAGATCACTGTTTGCAAGTTTTCAACACATTTAATTTTTTGCTTATTTTCCAAGAAATCCCTACTAAATCAGGTAAGGGATATCCTTGAGACTTGTCTTGCCCTGTCAAAAATGTATTATGCACTTACTATTCACACTGTGGATGATGCTGTATACCCTGTTTGTTAACCCTCTATTAGAACCTTCACAATAAAACAACCCAGTGGCATTAACACTGGTGGTCAGATCCTGTGTGACTATCTGTCCATTCACTGATTCCGTACTGCCGGCAGGAAGGGTGGTAGATGTCTGCAATGTAGTTCCCGGTAGAGCTATCTGGAATGGTCTGCCGAAGCTCAGTGTGGCGTCTGCATCAGGAGTGCTTCTGAAACAGCTGATGCTTGCAGAGGGCTGTAAAGACCCCGCCCCATAAGGTGTGGGTGTGACCATTGTCAGGTGAACTGTATCACCTACTGAGAGCAAAGAATATAAGGGCAAGTTTTTAAACTTCAAGACATTGCTATGATTCATCTATACATGCACTTCTCTATCATAAATGCCAATTATTTGAAAATCAATATTGACCATGCATGTCATACAAAAATGTCTCCAAAGTAGAAATAAAAAATGACGTTATTAAGTTGTTCTAACTTGCCTGATACGCCGGAACAGCCAGTCAATAGAAGCAGAAGCATGACAGCAAAATGCACCATGGCAAGACCTCCATGAACCCGGAAGGTTGCGGTCAAACTTTGCAAAATCTCCGTACTCTGCGCCATGCTATTACGTTGATCCCTTTCGTAAAATGTTTTACTGAATCTCCTGACTTATTCTCGGCCGCTATACTGTACCCATGTACCAGCTTGTGAGACTCTCGCAAATATTGATTTTAAAGAAAATGAAAAACGCTCCTTTTTTTCCTACATGAACGGGAATCGCAAGTCACAACAGCATTTGAACTGGAAAGTTCAAGCTCAATGTTGCACTGGCTGTTATTCCATATGCAGACGAGGCATTCACTAGTTAGTCAGTGATGCGTGACCGCCACTATTCAGACACGCAATGTTGAAAGCAAGCCCTGTGATTGAGGTCATGGGTCGTTACCACACTTTTTCTATCCCCCTAAATTCGGCAGCATGGCGACGGTGACGAGTTCTAGGTTTAATGTTAGATAGAATTTGCTCGATTTTTTTTATGAACTTTTTTTTCGCTCAAACAAAAAGCGTATACCTCACCTGTGAACACATGCGTTGCCTGCCTTCCTCTGCAAACATATGTTACGAGTAATTCCTTGTTTGCAGACTTTTTAAAGAGGACAAGAATGACAGTTTGGAAAGATGGTCGCTGGCGGATTTCGGAAAACAGATTATGGATATCTTGAACTTACTAGTTTACGAGAATTAGTCATATAATTTTCGTTTTTGGGCTGCCATTGAACTCGTCAAATTTCAGACATGTTAATGAGAAGATGCACGAAATAGATCCGACGGTAATTCACCTGTATTATATCAAGTTAAGTGAATATCGAATTATTTTTATCCGCTGTAACGGTGTCACTTCAATAGTCCGATGCATGCTTATGAAAGTGAAAATCAATTCTTCCACATCATGTGAAGAGGACACTGTGTACAGTGAGTCCAGGTTAGCATCTTCGTACATGCTCGAGGCTTGCACTGACCCACTCGGGGCCAGGGCTTTCAGGCTTCCGCTTCGTTTCCTCTCTTGTATGGTGCTTGATCCTTCAGGTTTATGGATGGACAGGGAGGACAGTGTGATGGGCAGGGAACGCCCAGAGACTTTCTCCACAAAATTGGTATGTCTGATACCCCTTTTTGTGCCTTTTGTAAAACCGTTCTGGAGAAAAATGATCATTTATTTTTTGATTGTCCCTTTGTTTCATGTTTTTGGAAAAAGGTGGAGGAATGGTTCACGTCAATTTGTAAAGTCAATATTGTCCTTACAGAATTTTCTATTTTGTTTGGTTATAATATTTATGACCCAGACCTTTTTGTTAACCATTCTCGGAAAAGCCGTTTTCAATTTTCTCTTTTCTTGGCAAAGTTATAAAACCCTAGAAGCCCTAAAACCTACCAAAAGTTATTAAAACCCCTGAAAAATCCTACCAAAACCAATTAAAAAAATAAAAATCCCAACCCCCAAACTGCCCTAAAACCATTAATGCCATAACCGTCACACAAAAACCCAATCACTGGAAACCCTAAAAGTTTCATAACCATAATAAACCTAGACATTTAAAGACCTTGGAAGAAAACCTAATACCGTAAAAGTGTTATTATGAATAAAGCGCTATTGAACAAAGCGATGCAAATTATTATAATAACCGCTGCCACAAATCCATCACTCAAGCATTTTTGAAACTTTAAACAAATTACCAGTGATACAAAAATAGTACATGTACACAACATAATATTAACAAAGTCGAGTGACTGTCTGAAGCAGATGTAAATAACTCTGCCGCTACCTGTCAACAATTGTATCAAACTCTCCGTTTCCATAATTAATTGTACCTCATACATGTTTACAACCGATACAAGCATCACTATAAAATAACCTCTGCGTATTTGAGCTGATATGCTTCCACAACATTTAAGAACAAAATGAATATACAAAATTCAAACTCCAAATTATCTTCTTGTCAAGAAGCAATTTAAAATGCAACAAATTATGCTTTTAAAGCAGGCTTATTAACAAATTTAAAGCAGGCTTATCAACAAATTACAGTGATACAAAAATATTGCATTACATAATATAAATACATGAGTAACTGCCTAAAGCAGACGTATATACCTCTACCACTACCTGTCAAAAATATATAAAGCTCTCCACATCCAGGCTTATTAAAATCTAATGCAGGCTTATTAACAAATTACCAGTGTTACAAAAATATTACACATCATTATAATCTAAACAAGCATTAGTAAATACCTCTGCCGCAATCAGCCGCTACCTGTCAACAATTGTGTATAAATCTCCCCGTTTCCATAAGTATTGTACCTCATAAAGTTTTACAACCGATAAAAGTATGACAATAAAATGACATCTGCGTATACAAGCTGATATTCTTTTACAACATTTAAGCACAGACACCATAATACAAAATTCAAACTCCATATTAGTTTCTTGTCAAAAAGTAATTTGAAATGCGATAAAGTATACTGTAAAACCGGGCTTATCAAATATTTGCGTATATACGAATGGATATTTCAACATATAATTCTGTCACCTTTTGGTCAAACCACAATCCTATACCAAATTGAAACGGTCCCAATTATTCTCTTGTCGTGAAACAATTCTTACTTAAAACCCTGGCATTATTTAAAATGCAATAACATATACAGTTAAGTCAGTCTTACATAAAAGCTGGCATAAATTCTAGAGTAAAAAAATATCATATGAAAAGCATGCCCCCTCCGCTTGTGTCTGAGTTTTGTCCAAGCAGCTACGATGCTATATGTCTCTCCATTCAGTTGTCATCCAGCTCTGGGCGAATCATCAAGTACATGTAGTTGTCAGCTTTTGGCAGCAGTCGCATGTACGTCTACAAGGAGAGAATAATTTCACAATGGTATGCGTTTGAATCAGGTGTCACCTTTACTCCTGGACAGATTGCACCGAACAAAATTTTGCAGCACTGTCTTAAAAGAAAGTCTCGCAGTTTGTTATCTTATTTAAATACACTTACAAGTACATGATAAATCGTAGGGCCGATCAATTTACTGCTATCAATTCAACACTTACATGCTCATTTGGGTTGTCAACCATACTTGTCAGGCGAGTCACTAGTTTCTTGAAATCAGGTCGGTTGGCCGGGTCTTCCTGCCAGCACATCAACATCAGGGTGTAGCTGCAAAACATCATTTTTGGTTGTCATTTACATAGAACAGTGTATTACTGCATCTTTGCGTTTAATATTTTAAATTGTAGGAAAATAATACATGCACATGTGGGAGCGCCGTGAATATTGAAAAGGTACAAACCACATATCGATAGTATAAACTTAACAAGAAGACATAAGCTCAACAGCAGTTCGGAAATTGTGAATCGTAAATCTGAGATGAAAAGATAAGTAGGCATATCGACGGACAAATTTTTTTTAGACTTAAGCCTCTTAATGTTCACATCTTACATCTCATTATCACAGTTGATTGGTTTGGGCATCCGATATCCACTCTGCAACCTCGACAACAGGTCCTTAATGTTGATGTCTTCGTAAGGAGTTGCGCCTTACAACAAAATTATACAAATACATTACTCTTAGTGAAAGGATATAATACATAGGTATACTGCATAATTAAGAATGGGAGCACTTTGCACGTGCTTGAAATTTAAATGGAAATACGACAACTTCAGCGACAACAAAAAGTACTCCAGTCAGCATGTTCTTTTCGAACACATTATCCGAACAAATTGTACAAAAAAAATGAGCACATGAAAAATAATCATCGAAAGATCTAAATACATTACCCAGGGTGGCAATTTCCCACAGGAGGATTCCAAAGGACCATCTATAAAAAGAAATGAAGAAAATGACCAATGACACCCTCTCAATGATGTGTGACGTGTTTTCATTTCTGTACATTCTTTACATTTGATAAGTTATGTTTTGTATACTTACACGTCACTCTTTGATGTGTAAGTCTTGGAAGTCAACGACTCCAGAGACAGCCAGCGAGTAGGAACGCGAGTCTACAAAGGAGATATCAAAAAGGATGTTAAAATACTTCATGAAGTGGGGTTCAGTATGGCAGGTTTATGATTCATTTTGTCTTTATATAATTATGCAATAGCAGATGCTACTTACCCTTGACATCTGAACGTAGATATCTTCTACACGCGACAACCCAAAACCAGAAACCTTGGCAACCAGTTGACTGTCAAGGAGGATGTTTCTTGCCGCCAAATCACGATGAATCACCTGCAAAAGGTTCACGTGTTTTAGGAATAATCTTCTTTCTTTATAACTTTTGAAGTATACTAAATTTGATGTCGGCGACCTCGTAAGTTTGATCTGTGTTCAAGCACACCCTTTGTCATCCGTTCTTTGCACTGCAGTCGTGTTTTTAGGTGTGTGATTTTTTTCAACAGGGTTTATAAGCATGAGCAAACCTCTTGTGCATACACTGTTACTGAATTAAGATAAAAACAACCAGCTTAAATTATCGGCATAAATCGATCTGTAGCCGAGCATTTATAAATTATCCTTGGTTTTGTTAACAGTTTAATGTTTTAACTTAGCCTCCACAAACAAGGACGTATACCTACCCCCACTTCAGACAGGTGATGCATTGCTTTAGCAACATCCAAAGCAAACTGAATCAGCTTCTCAGAAGACAGAGTTGACTGATCATCGTCCCCCAGGGATCGGGCATTTCTCAGGTAGGTGCGCAGATCACCATTGGGCATGAACTCCAAAGCCACGTACAGAATGTCTGGTAAAAGGAAATGTACATGAAATAGTCTGCATAATATGTGGCGGTTTCAGGAGACTGTTTTTTTCTTCAGAAAATGCTCCAATTCACTTAGTTCATTCACTTGGAGTTAAATTATTGGTGTTTTTTTTTTTTAAATATTGCCAGATGTATGATCTCTAGTAACACAAAGATGAAGTATGAAAAATATGCTATTAAAAAGGTAAACGTCTGTCAATGACTCCACCGGTTTGCCTTCGAAATGCATTTTGCTGAAACGATTATTACAAATGGTCAAACCATTCTTCGCAACCACATGATCACAAATCGACGCAACAATCAGTAAATGAAAACCAGCTATTTCACTGCATGTATTTCACTCACCTTCGTGTTGACAAGCACCAAGAATACTGACCACGTTCGAATGCCGTCCAACTTTGGTCAGAGTTTGAAATTCCTTCATGAAGTTCTGCCGGTCATTTTCGGACGCGTTTGCTGTGATGAATTATTGAATGAAGTAAAACGAAACATTGTTAGTCTTTGTTGCTATTCATGAACTCGGAATTTGAATGAAAAACGGATATTATTTAATTTATTGAGTATATCTCATTGACTCTATTACTGATCATATCAGATAAGGTTCGAAGTTCAAACGTTTACAGTTATTGCATGCAGATGGTGCATATTCGACGTACCCTTTAGTGTCTTTATAGCCGCCTTGGAAATTTCTCCTCCAACCTTCACTGCTCCGTCGCGAACTTCTCCAAAGTTTCCCTTGCCTAAGATGTTATCGCCGGTGATCATATTCTTAAATGGAACACTCCATCCCTGTGCCCAAGATGGTAGGCCTACATCCTCCAAGGTTGGTGGTGAAATATTAACACCCACTACTTCATACGATGTTGGGCGATCCTGACCAACCCTCTCATAGTCTGATACCCCGGTGTCATTGTCTGGAGATATTTGATTTTCATACGCGGTCTACGAACAGCAAAAACACACATTATATCGACACCCAATTAGCAAAAACCAGGCATCATATACAAAAAATTGGAACCTCGATACTCTAAAACTAAAAAGATGGTATAGTTTGTAGTGTTAATGGGAAGATGCTGTTCAGTGACAAGGGGAGACATAGTGCAAGTCATGTCTCAGTCAAAGTTTTGACACATCTAATTAATAACACTCACCATTTCCTGTCCTCCTGCTGGTGGCGTCTTTGCTTGTTGTCTTCTACTTCTTCGACGACGCTGAAAGTAAATGTATAGGACCGCAGCAACGGCAATCATGACGATAACGACGACGACAATGATAGCGATCAGAATTGCTGGGGTGGGTTGTGGAGTAGCTGCCGCTGATAGAAAAAAGGAACACAACATTAATGTCAAAGTTCCATTTGTTGACGACAAGAGTGGACAGGAGCCTTATCTCGAGTCTGCTCTTGAGATTTGAGAAAATAGGTGAAAATAGGTGCACAATATATATTACTTTATAGTGTCCAAATGCCCCCTTTTCACGACTATCCTTTTTGGGGGGGGGGGGGGGGGTTAGGCCGTGCGCATGTGACGTTACCCTCTAACATTTGCTACTACCACTTCCCTTGGGGGGGGGGGGCTAAACAAAAGTTTCGGGGGGAGGCGGTGCTAAAGCCCCACAATTTAGTTCCCCCTAGAACCGCGCCTGATGAAAAGAATAGAAAAGAAAATCTTGCATTTCCATTTAAAAGTATCCCTCAGTTGACCGTAAGTCTTAAGAAGAACGTGACTCTTTGCATTCTCATTGCACATTGGCGATGTAAAAAAATCGCAAAATACAATCCCTAGCAATGTACAACAGAGAATAGTAACGTTGCATCAAATCGCTCGCTTGTAATGCTCCATTTGACACATTTTCGTCACGACAAAAATATCAAAATTATGAAAAACTTTCTTTAGAAATTAATCAGTCAGTTCAGTAATTAAACTGCGCCTGCGCATATTATGCGTGAAAATTATATTTAAACTTCAGGTTTAAATATATCTCTACCAGCTTTTTGCGTGAAAAACTATATCGAAGTCAAAATCGTTGTGTATTGATGTGCGCATTTACAGTTTAAATACAAAACTTTTAGCTCATTATTTCCAATGAAATGAAGCATTATGCACTGGCTTAAAATAAAATGTAAACCCTACTGCTCACTTGAAATTCCTGTAACAACTACCGGAGCAGTGCTTGCAGGTAAGGTGGGGATGGATGGTGCTGGAACTGTTGTTGATTCTGCCACGGTAGCACCTTCAGTAGCAGTAGCTGGAGGAGGCATTGTTAGAGGATAAATCAACTGTGATGCGGGACTTAAAGATCCTTGGTCTCCTGGTCCATCTCTTACAGTAGCCACGCTGAACTGGTATTGAGTGCTTGGTTCCAGCGGTTGGACTACAAGGCTATATGCAGCCTTGGACTGGTCTGTGACTGATATCTCACCACCTACAGACCATGCAATAGATGCATACTTGTAGTAAACGATGTATCTGATGATTGGTCCATCCCCAGAGTCCTGGTTGTGTGGGTCCCATGCCTGCCAGTTGACAGTCACTGATTCTGGCCCAGCAACGACTGCAGGAGGCTGGCTTAGATATGGGAGAACTGTAACACAACCACAAAGACAAGTAACTTAAATGACAATTTTTTTTCTACACGTACATGTATAAGTATACTCCGATCACTCTATGTAAATTAAGTTGAGGGATTTTGAACCGAGTCGGATGTGAACCTGCGACCTCCCAAACATCACTCTACAAATCGGGCTACACTTTGTTGGCACTAATATACAATATATGGCTTATAAGAGGCTATCTGTGACAAAGTCAGTAATCATAACCCATCAGAAAAAAGAAAAACAAATGTTCTGATATGGTAGGTATGTTCAAAGTGGAGAATGTTTCTGGGCCCTGAGGTGTTTCGATACAATTAATTCATGCATCATTCTGCTCTTTTGGCGCCAGTAACAACCCTTTTCTTAACCAACCTAATACTGTATGTTAGATGCATCGGCTCAATAAATAAAATCATAAATTTAATGACATTCTTTGATAGGCTACACAGTGTGAAAATCAAAGCATGTGCAAGTGATTTTTCTGTGCAATTGGTCTTATACTACAACAATTGATGCACTTAGCACGTTTCTATTAGCAAATTTAGGACGGCACAATTTACAAACAAAAAATGATCCTTAAGCTTACGCATTACCAAAAAGGAACACAATCAGAGTTGACGGTACACTTTGACCGTTATGAGTTAGACGGCAGGTGACCATCTGGTTGTTAATCAGTCCAGATGCTGTGAACGTGTTGTTGAGCACCATGCCTTCAGTCGCAGTCCCTGTTCGTGGGAACGATGAGCTTCCGGCTACCACGAAAATTGAGTCTGCCGAAAGAACGTCTCCTGACGTAGCTGCACAACTGAATGTCGCATCTTGGCCTTGATTTGGCATCGTCAACATTTGAAATTCAATGATACCTTTTTATAGAAAAAAAAACCACTTTATAATTATTCTGAATCAGCTTAAGGCCCCCCCCCCCAAAAAAAAAAATAGTCGGTCTCTGGTCAGACCGAAGTTCCGGAATTGATGCGGCGACGCGTTTTTTTTTTTGGTGGCTTTTTTTTTTCAAGCTTGAATTGTACAGACAAGGTGGGTACTATTTTGCTTTTTTGTGTCCTCATTATACATTGGTGTCCTCCATAATTTGCCTTGGTGCCCTTTATCATTTGCCTTGGTGCAATTTCCCCATTCCTTGGTGCTCCTTGGTACAAACATTTGAGGAGGCAATAGAGGCAATAGAGGGCGCTGTTGTAGCTTCCGTGTTAATTTGAAGAAAAAAAAGGTTGACGTGCATGATTAAAATCGACGGGCGCGCTGACGAGAGACCGAGTATTATTTTTTTTTTGGCCTAATCCTAATTGCTTTAAATCTACATCCAAAACATAAGTATATGGTACCCTGGTGAATTGTGGATTGTATACTCCAACTAGTTCGTTTTAATACGGGGCTTGACGCCACATGTTGCTAAAATGTATCAGATTGATTTCCTGCAAATTGTCAATTTTGCAAAGCGCGAAATTTTGCAAAGCCCGAAAGCGCATATTGCCTGGTCAGTATAGTTACTAAAACAAACACTTGTTATGGTCTGGTGACTGAATACTGCTAAACGAATTCAATAAGACAAAATGAACAGTAATTTTGCACATTCAGCTGTGAGTTGAACATAAGTCCAAGAACATGACGCGTTTGTTAGGGAGCTTCCTGAATCCGCTAAGTCCAAAGTTGCGCATTAATTCAGTGAAATACTCCCACAAAATCGAGATATCTATAGCCCCATGTAAATGAAACAAGTGTGAGTGCACAATAAGCTCTTGCCATGTTGCAAGAAGTTTTGCATGAAAGTCTTGCAGGAAAACGATCAAACTGATCCCTGTCAGAGCTGAAAATTGTGATGCCGAAGAATGCAGCGCCGACGGCACTTATGGAACACCATACTTTTAGTCAATTCTCCCATGCCTCCCAAAAAGTGGCACATGAAAGTACACAGGGCCCGAGGACAGAGCTAAGGTGATTCATAATGCACAGGTGCTTTCCAAGGTATGTTAGGGAACTAACAAAAAAGCCCCCTAGCCTCTTAAAGTTATGGCTCGCGCATACCACGTGACCATTACCACACATTATCTTACCTCTAAAATTCATAGACAATGTCACAAATAGTTACAACCTATGTTGGTCCAGTTTTTAATGTATTTTGTTTGCTTTTTATAACAGTTACAATTTAGTTCTTACAGTTTTATAGGTGCGTTACGGGGGTTCGTTTTTGGTCAATTTTTTTGGGGGACCGACCGACCGACACCCAAATGACTTGTAGAAGCTCTGTTGCCAGAGCTTAAAATAGTGAGGGCCCACAGTACTTTATGGACTCCGTGCACAGCAGATGACACTTTGTGACCCCTTTCAAAAGCCCTAGTGGGAGGGACACCACAGGAGCTGGTTTGGGCAAACGCACGACTGATTTTTTGGGGTTGAATGTTCACAAACTGGGAACATCTTTGTGTCAGGCGCAATCGACAATTTGTTCGAATGTCACTCCCAGTGGCCTCCCCCAACACTCCCGGTTCGACTGTTGAGGGGTACTTGTGTACTGAGCCCACATAGGCCCCGCGTACATCAAAACAGGAGCATATTTTTTTAAATTATATATTCAGGGTTGAAACGATTTCTTAAGTATGAATGGTATTTGAAATTCTCTTAGCTTGACGTGCCTTATTGTGTATTAAAATGCCCAGTATTATCAAGAAGGTTGTCTGTGACATATGCAACATATTCACTTTCGGGTGGCAAGGTGTGGCTCACAAATTGAAACTGTACGATTTTACTGACTTGGCATGATCATTACTGAGCCAGTCATTGTCCAAATTATAAAGGTTAATACACTGCATATATTGAAGTAACTAAAATCTTTGTTTCTGTGGCAGAATTTTGAGTTTACCCTGATGTACCAATAAAATTAAGAAAACAGATTTTACATAATAATTTGTGGTGCTACACATGCATGTTGGTGACTAATATGAAATCATGCATCAACGGCCATTGTTAAAGATATGATTATCCTTGTCTACATAATTTAAAATATTTATAACATTGCTCGGCAGTGCAAAGTTTAGTTGAATGGATCATGAATACAGTGCATAACTATATCAGCTGTTGGACACCTACTGAACATAACCATGGGCGTCGCCAGGAATGTTTGTCTAGAAGGGGGCAAAGCACATTATTTCCGAAAATCCTTATACGCTCTCAAGCATAGTCTCAATTTATCAATTTTTTCGAGGGTGGGCGGGGGACATGTGCCCACCCACCATGTTGTCAAATGCCCATTAAATTAACAGCAATATGACTTTGCCCCTCATATTTTTGTTTTTGTTGTTGCTTTCCAGGGGTTTGGAGGGCAAACGCCCCACTTGCGCCCACCCCTCGCGACGCCCATGGAAATGATTCTTTTCTTACAAGTTCTAGTATACAAATATTGAATGCTTCGAGTGGTGTAGTAAAACTAACCTCCCGAGTTGATCCATGGACATTCTATTTTCCCGAGGCGAAGACAAGGGAAAATAGAATGATCCATGGATCACAGAGGGAGGCTAGTTTTACTTTACCACGAGATAAAGCATTCAATATTTGTTTAATAACACTTCACCCACATATTCTGCTTGATTTTAATATTTTAGATTATTTAAATCTGAACATAGCTGAAATAAACCTCAATTTCAATACAAAATTGGTGGAAAATGTATTTCTCTCTTAAAAACTACCCCTTCACGAAATGTTTGAACCCAAGTCTACGCACGCGCTACGCACAACGCGCAACGCGCACACAAGCATGCATTTGCACACAAATACCGCGCCGTGGAAATAGTACTTTGGTTGCTAATGGTATAGTACTTTGGTTGCTATGCGCATAGTATACAAATATTGAGTGGCTCAGCGTGGAATGGGAGGAATATTATCGCAAGGTAAAATCTGGACTTTTCCATTTCACGAGGCGAAGCCGAGTGAACTGGAAAAGTCCAGAATTTACCGAGCGATAATATTCCTCCCATTTCACAATTTAAAGCCACTCAATATTTGTTTTATATAACTGACATATAGATCCTTGTCATTTGATATATTTGAACTTTTTTTTCCAATACAAAACTAGAGGAAAATGCATTTCTCTCTTCCAAACCACCCCTTCACGAAAATGTTTGAACCCAACGCTGTAGCGCTGGCTCTTTGGAACAATAGACCGCTTGCAGGCGCGTTCGATAATCGACGCGCGAAGTCGCGCGACGCCATGTTTTGGGACAAGCGTATATCTATCCATGCACATTTTGTCCCACAACATGGCGTTTGCACCTTCGCGCGTTAATTATCGATCGCGTCTGCAAGCGGTCTATACGCGCTACGCGCAACGCGCACACCAGCAGCATGCATTTGCACACAAATGGCGCATCGTGATCCTAACTGTTGAATAGTATACAAATATTGAATGCTTCGAGTGGTGTAGTAAAACTAGCCTCCCGAGGTGATCCATGGACCATTCTATTTTCCCGAGGCGAAGCCGAGGGAAAATAGAATGGTCCATGGATCACCGAGGGAGGCTAGTTTTACTTCACCACGAGATAAAGCATTCAATATTTGTTTTATAACACTTCTCCCACAGATTCGGCTTGATTTTAGTATTTTACATTATTTAAATCTGAACACAGTTGAAATAAACTTCAATTTCAATACAAAATTGGTGGAAAATGTATTTCTCTCTTAAAAACTAACCCTTCACGAAATGTTTGAACCCAAGTCTGCAGCGCGCTCTCTTTGGAATAATACGCGCTACGCACAACGCGCAACGCGCACACCAGCATGCATTTGCACACAAATACCGCGCCGTGGAAATAGTACTTTGGTTGCTAATGGTATAGTACTTTGGTTGCTATGCGCATAGTACTTTTGGCCGTGCACAGAAAGATAGCAAAATTAGAAAGTAACATGTGACTCGCTCTCGGCCAATCAAGACACAGAATCTGTGGGTGAGGTGTTATAATATTTCCCATTCCCCATGGGCGGATAGTACTTTTTGAGGCTCGGCATGAATGGGAGCAATAACGAATATCACGTGATGTGAGTTCCACCAATCAAATGACAAGGATCTGTATGTCGGTTATATAATACTTTTTGGCCGTGCACAGAAAGATAGCAAAATTAGAAAGTCACATGTGACTCGCTCTCGGCCAATCAAGACACAGAATATGTGGGTGAGGTGTTATAAGATCAATTGTACCTGTCTGACAGTTGTTGGTGTTCCTATCTGACTTGAATCCATCAGCACAGACTCCATTCGATCCATTGCAGTAACCACTGTCTCTCTCGCAGGCAGCGTTGTTAGAACAGTGGCAATCACTAGAACAATCCAGTCCAAATTTGCCAGTTGTACATGCACCTGACACTGTACAGGTAAAAGAACGGAAAAGAATGGCATGGACATCACCCCCTATTTCTTCATAGCCTGTTTTCTTTGTGTATTATAGTCGACGGGCTCGATGTTGTGCAAAAAAGAACGTATGTTCACGACCATTATGTCCGTTTGGTCGATTACCTCAAACAACAGATTTTGACGAGCAATGGCCGATTATGTCCGACTCATTATGTCCAACGGCCGGATATGTCCGACCCATTGTGTCCTACGGCCGATTATGTCCGACTCATTGTGTCCGACGTCCGATTATGTCCGACCCATTGTGTCCAACAGCGATTATGTCCGACCCATTGTGTCCGACGGCCGATTATGGCCGACCCATTATGGCCGACGGCGATTATGTCCGACCAATTGTGTCCGACGGCCGATTATGTCCGACCCATTGTGTCCGACGGCCGATTATGTCCAACCGAATATGTCCGACCCATTGTCCGACGGCCGATTATGCCCGACCCATTGTGTACGACAGCCGATTATGTCCAACCCATTGTGTCCGACGGCCGATTATGTCCGACCCATTGTGTCCGACGATGGGATACGTCCGACCTATTGTATTTAGATGGTCGATTACGCCGGATTCATTCGGTTGTGTACTGACATTATTAAATTATCTTTGGATTGTAACTTGAGTGCGCGCGGAAAATAGCCATGAAAATTCTGAAAATGTCCCCTTGGTGCTAATTCGGGCGATTCACAATGCAGTAAGCTACCAATAGTTTGCCACGGAGAATTCATTTTTCTCAACCTTGTGGGAAATGGTCGACAAATTCGCAGCTCGGGACATTTGAAATTGTTAGTTTTATTATGTTTGCCCTTTTCTTTTCTTTTTATCAATATGGTGTTCTTTTGTACACTTGGATTTGGATGGTTCAAATTGCATAATTTTGATCCAAGTGGAGTGATGGGATAACTGAATTGTTTCCCATGTTGCTTTGGAAGAACTTTGAAGTCTGGCAGATTGGTGCACATTATGATTAGATTGTTCATAAAAGCATGGAATTTGGCATTTGAAAAACTAAAGGTAGAAAAGTAATTTCTAAATTTACAAAATGGCTGCCATTGTTTGCTATTATACCTATATATTTTTTCAGTACAAATCTGCAATGGCCCTATAACCAAATATCTTTCTCAAGACATACGCTGACTGGGTGCCAAATTCTCTGCTTTTATCATCAAATGAACAATTCCATCACTGTTAAAATGTTCACAGTTTAATATTAAAGTGTTTTCACGTTTCTGAGTTTCATTTTAAAACTTCAATCTCTTGTTATTTACATGATTAATATGTAGTTCTTGTTATGTAGTTAAAACTCATAATTTAGTTAAAATTATTTAAAAAGCCTTTTAATACTTATTGTAGTTGGCTATCGCCCTTGATTTATCACTATCAATATCGTTATCATCAACATCGACATTATCATCGCTGTATCATGTACTGGTTAGATATTTACTCAAAACATAAATCAAGCGATTAACAAAATGTATACGGTTTAACAGAAAAGCCGATACAAAATTACCGTTAACGTTGGCAGAGAAAAATCAAAGAAAATCCAATGAAATTGACAATTAAAGCCAAATCAAATTAAGCAAAATCAAATTAAGTGCATATCATGACTGTGGTTTTATTTATAAACCAACTCCTTTCACTTAATAATATTTTAAGTACTGATAAGTACTGATTAAACCAGATGTAAAATACAAGAAATAGTGGAGGATTTGTATATTTATTCTTAATCTTATTGGCAAGGATTAAAAAGCCGATTTAATTAAAATTGTGTCGATTGCGTTGAATTATTACTTTTATCAATATTCAAAATATTACGGAGCCCCTAAAGGGACATCCAAAATTATTTTTTTTATCTAGTGCGCACGACATAATATCTCGTGCGCACGACATATATCTCGTGCGCACGACATAATTATCTCGTGCATAAGTATCTCTGGAGACCTTTTCGAACGATTTTTTCCACGACTTTTAGGTCAGCTTTACCAGTGACCAGTATTGACGTTTTGGGCATCAATAACGGCGATTTTTTTTTCACAGACATGCAGTTTAGAATTTCTTTAATGACTAACTAAAGAAAAATTTGTGCATAAGCTTTCGTAGCAACAACTACTTCATCAGATGCAATGAAGAAAAAATACTGGTAAAGCTGATCTAAAAGTCGTGAAAAAATCGTTCGAAAAGGTCTCCAAATCCATTTTAACCAATTCTGAGCATTTTGGATGCAATTGGGCTCGAAAGTGGCGCTATTTTGCCATGTTGTGGAGGGATCGTTTTTCAAGATGGCTACTTTTCCGCTTTGGGGAAAATAGGGGACGTCTTCTTTGGGTTAGAATATCTCGAAAAGTCACCGGTCAACCCACCAAAAAATGAACAGAAAATGAAAGATGACATGTTCATCATCATTTTTCTGTGCAGCCTATATACGTGTGAGAGTTCCGAGTATTTTTATAAGAATTTTGAAGTATGGGCATTTAGCATTGGTGTCTATGGTAATTTTAATACAAGGTTGCACCCTCAAAATGATTTCTAGTCCATTTTGACCCCACGTGCCAAATTCCATGCTTTTAAAACAAAGTACACGAATTGGGCCAAAAAAATGGACCTAGCTCCACTATAAACACACCCATCGCAGTCTGCTTGGGCATGGCGAGGAGAATCAACAAAAGACAACCAAAAGCAGCCGGAGAAAGATCTGACCAGTCCTGTAATTTGAAAAAAAACGTAAAAATGAGGCAAAGAAAATAACTGCTGAAGGCTAAAAAGCTGTCAATCATTGAACTGATTGCTCTGGGCAGGGGCTTTAACTTTATTCCCACCCTTAGAGACCTTCAAAGTCGACCATCCTTCGCTACTTCCCACTCATTCTTCATAATGAGACTTCGTTGAAAATGGGAGGGAGAGTAAGACTGTCCGACTCGCATCCATTCAAACTGCTGATGCCGATAACAAATCCTCATTTCCTTCCCCTTTAAATCAATTTTAATTCACGTCGGCAATTTTCTTGTTATTGTCCACCAATTCCCTGATTTTTGCCAGCACGTACCGGTTCTTTTTTGCATAAAACACTTCTCTCTCAGAAAAAGGCAAAACTTGACAAAATTAATCACCGGTGGCGCCCCCCTAAAAAAACATCCCCGTCCTTTAACTGATATGACTTGCAATGTATAGCGTAAAGCGCCTGACACGCTGCTTTCGTTACACACAAACTCGTCCGCTGCACGTGCAGCAAGCTCCGTTAATACTTATAATTATCTCGTGCGCACGAGATAATTATCTCGTGCACACGAGATATATGTAGTGCGCACGTGATAATTATCTCGTGCGCACGAGATATTATGTCGTGCGCACGAGATAATTATGTCGTGCGCACGAGATTTATGTCGGCGCACGAGATATATGTCGTGCGCACGAGATATTATGTCGTGCGCAAGAGATAAAAAAAAATAATTTTGGATGTCCTTTTAGGGGCTCCGTAAAATACAGTTTACTACTGTTATCATTATTCAGTATACCCAAAGTCGTCAATGGCTTCAATATTTTTAGTGGGGCTGTCCACGTTATTTTTTTGGTCATAAGGTTGCCCCGAAGTAGCTACCAGAAGGGCAAAAATAGCCAAACGATCATCGTGTACCTACACATTTTCGCCACTATAGTTTCCCTTCATCTCAGTATATTCCGTAACGAAACCACACTCCTGATATAAGCCCACATCCATAAAAAAAATGTAAACGCACAACCTTACAATACGTGATTTTTTTTGTATTATATCTTTCTTATCTCCCAAGATTATCTCTAATTTTAGGCCCCTCACTTTGAAAATTGTGCCCTTCCGTTTAAACAAAAAATCGGCAGATCTTTACCATTGTTATGCACTATTGAAGCGATAAATTGATTACATTCATCAATACTTGTTTTCCTGTGAGAAACAAAATTCCCAAAACCACATTTCCAAACTACAAAAGAAAAATGCCCTAAATTGCTTTAAAAAACCTATTTAAGGGAACGAAATTAAACAAATAATGAATGAAAAGAAAAGCAATGACAGTTCACGTAGTATCCACTAGACTGCATCATTGACTTCTTCCACTGAGTTGTTTTATACATTATATTAATGCATGTACATGTATTGCCCCATACGCGGCAATCATTCATGTAGGACCGACTTTGCGGTATAGAAAAAGCTCGCCTCTGGTCAATGCAGTCCTCGGCACGCCCTGGAGAGAGGGCGCCCTCATTCGAGCGGTACTTCACTGGATTTTTTTTTCACTTTTACACATCGCCCTTATAACATTAACAGGGTCCTGATTCCGATAAGTGTTGCAATTGCACTCAGTGTGCCAATTGCACTCTATGAAGAGATGCCATCATAGAGTGCAAAACATAATGACATTGAAAAGTCACTGGTGAGAGATTAAAGCCCAAAATAGAGGATGAAATAAATCAGATTTCATAGGACGCCAAAATACTATGACAACAAACTTTCAGAGTCTACCGGACAAAATTGGGTCAGAGAAAATCGGATTCCTGGTATCCAATTCTGTTCAAGTCCAATCTCACTATTTATGAGGTGAGTGCTTCTATTAAAATACGAAGGAAGAATAACTTCGCGGATACGGGGATACAGGGTGGCACACGCGTGTGGTTTTGGGGAAAAACGTCCAAGTCCAAAGTAGGTGCCGGGAAGTGGATACGCGGCTACGGGGATACGGGGTGGCACACGCGTGTGGTTTTGGTTGAGCATCCAAGCGTGACTCCGTATCTGCGTATACGGATACGAGGTGGGATACGTGAGTGGCGGGGTATTCTGCAATTGTGCCAGATTCTGGAAGTAAGAAACATTTCCAATGTTGTACCGACACGACGACAGTCACACAGTGTCTTGAGAAAAATCAAAATCTCCGACACCTTTACAATGGCCTACTGAGACATTTGGTAAATAATGCCTTGTTAAACTTGCCTGTTACCACGTTACCGCTGAATACCACGAACAGGGTAATCAGAAGCGAGCGAGTAAAATACTCCGTAGCAAGATGTCCACGAACCCGGAAATTAGCGGGCATCAAATTCCCCGATGTACACGCCGACTGCGCCATTGCGCCCATGTCCACAGGCACGGGTTGATAACTTCCGCAACTTGTTTCCGAGAGGTTTGGAAGAAGATAATAACAGCGTTTGTGTCACTTAACTCCGAAATAGTTTCGTGAAACGGAACCTGGCTGTAACTCACATCCTACAATTTGAACAGAAAACATTTACAATTTCCAAAACATTAGAAAGGAACAACTGCAATTGCAGTCGAAATGCTCAACACGTCAACTTGCTATCGTGGTCACTGATGCGTGACCGTCATTCAAGACTGGTGCACGAAACTTTGTCGTCACACACTATGCGGAAACGAGACAGGTGCAAGACTTATCATAACTTTAGCCGTATTCAAGGAAACTTGTATTTTTTTTTGTCTACGGCTTAGGATTCTCACAATACGGAAGACACGACAAGAAACGAAGCCGTAGCCATGAATTACGCGATTCGTGTATGGCTTACTTTCCCTTGCGAAGTTGCGAGGCCATTCACTTGGAGGCTAGCCGTTTATGGGACCGGGTTAGGTCAACGCAAAACACTTTTATGTGCCCCCCTATTTTTTTTGGTTGCATTATCATTACTATAATGTATCTGACGCAACCCCAATAAAGAGCAACAAGTCAAATCGATTTCAACTTTGCTTCTAAAGGTATTTACTACCCCAGTTGACACTACATGTATATACGAAGAGATCAAAATGGCTTTGCTCAAGCAGACCACATTTCACTTTGGCAAAAACTTAAACACAAATTAAAAGTAAATTGACCTAGGTCATTCTAGGCACGCATTTAATAAAAAAAAAATTCCACCGACGATCGGCCCCTACCATTTAGCCAAAGTTGATCCTTTGATTTTAAAACGATCCTTAAAAGAAGGAAAAAAAAGCGAACGAGTAAAAACAAAATTGTTAAAGTTTGTGTACATGTATACGTGCTTTTTGGTTAGGAACCTTGAATTGAATTGATAATTTTCTAGCATTACATTAGTTATGAGCTTTCCAATGAGACATCGCACGAAAAAAAAATCGGCCTATGACAAGCAATCAATTAATTAATTTCAACTTTTGAACTAAGAGCGGGACGCTCCTTTAATTCGTTTTGAATAGTGTGCGCAATTTCTGAAATGGAGCGCGCCAATTAAACCACTTTATAAAACTGTATACAGGCCTGCAAAAAGAAACAAGCACATTTATTTGTATACAAAGCATTATTTTCCTTTGAATTTCTTTCGGGAAAAAATCGACAGTTTGAAAGAGCACCTATTATGCAAACTTTAAATTTCTACTCTTTGTATTTTACTTCAACGTTAATTTAGATCACAAACTTGTAACTACTTGCTTTAGGGAATATAAGGCGTCCACGGGATTTTGCGTATAATGCTACATGCGAATAAAAAATTTATTAATGATCTGAACGAACAATCGCTTAGTAATATATATCACTGCAATTGCATGTTAATCCCCATACTGCAACAGACCCTAAGACTTCGGTGTCATTGGATTGTTTTTACTCGAGTTGCAAACCTATTAAAAGGCTCACGAGGAACATGAACCCACTAAAGATTAAACAGGATGTTTTTTCGGCTAATCTTGTAATGGAAATATGACCACAAAATAGGATGTGTTAATTTGGTTTTTTTAAAATCTTTTTCAATAATTACGCTTTTTTTTTTTTTTTTTACTTTTTTAACTTAAAATTTGAGATCCTAAGTGTTTTCAATAGGCCTTTGTAAATTTCACAGACTATTTTGCATCTAAAGGTAATTGGAAAAGGAAATTGCAATTAAAAAATTGCACAACTAAAAGGAAGTTACTTTGTTGTAGCCTTTGTGAATTTTTGGCATTCATTTTTAAATTAAGACATTTGATGATTTTATTGAAAGAGATATAGATTTATCCAATATTTAAATACACACAAAATTCTTGAAACTGCCCAGAGGAGTTTTGACAGAACACCGTATTGGCAAGGGCCAGGGGCTGGGGGTGGGGAGGATTGTACCCCCCACTATTTGACCGGGGGATGGGCCACCGGATCGGGGACGTCTCTATAGTCCGAAGTACCATTGGCCCGACGTCCCATTGGTCCCACGGCCCATTGCGCAGCTCTATACGTTTCATTGGTATAACGTCCAATTGGTCCGACGTCCCATTGGTCGGACGTCCCATTGGTCCCGCGTCCCACTGGTCCCAAGTCCCATTGGTCCCGCGTCCCACTGGTCCCAAGTCCCATTGGTCCCAAGTCCCATTGGTCCGACGCCCCATAGGATTAGGGTTAGAATTAGGGTAAGGGTTATGGTTAGGGCTAGGGTTCCTTATCATCATCATCATCATCGTACGTTACGCGTAGTCATCATCAAGATCTCATGGCCTGCTGTATGCCCAACTTCCAGGGAGTGCCGTCACATCGTACGCCCATTCCATATCTCCGTCAGACTGTACAGAGCAGTCGAGCCAAACATGAGAGCCAGGGGATTAAGTTCCATGAACCCATGTATTACAGAGTTAGGGTTAGCAATCGCGATTTAAAGGATATGGTTGGTTGAGGGCAAGGATTAGGGTAAGGGGCCATTCAGAATTTTCAATGTTTTAAAATTTCGACTTTTTTTCCAAATTATTTTGACCCACCCACCCACCCCTAATTCCGATTAATAAAAAACTGATTTGTTAGGCACAAAAAACAATGTGCCTGTACATGTACATGCATTACATCCCACTGGCGAGCCTGTGCGGGTTGCGTGTCCTTTCGGAAAAAAATGTACAGAACATACAGGGGACGAAGTTGGAAAAGAAACACGCATCGCGATATCGGAACGCTTGCGCGTAGTTCAGGCAAGTCAAAAGATCATTTTTTTTTGGGGGGGGGCTCTTTTTTTCCATGAAAAGTGAATTTCGATTTTCAATTATTTAGCTTGACCCACCCACCCACAATTTGGAAAAGTAGTCGAAATGTTAAAACATTGAAAATTATGAATGGCCCCTTAATACTAGAACTATGTCTGTTCGATAAACACCCCGCATTGTTTTTTATGGCTTTGTGTTTTGTTTTGTCCATAGTCGGGTAAATCATATGCAAGAACATACCGTAGCTACACGACTAACTACTCCACATATAGGACTTTAAAAATGTGCACCTTTAACATGACGTATGTTAATGTGGTCTTTAATTTAAAAATCCTTATCGACCATCTCTTTCAAATTGTCTCCAAAGTTGATACATGAAACAAAGTTTTGTTGTTAACTTGCCAGATACTCCGGAACAACCAGTCAATATAAGCAGAAGCATTACAGCAAAATGCACCATGGCAAGACCTCTATGAACCAGGAAGTATGCGGTCAAACTTTGCAAAATGCCCGTACCCTGCGCCATGTTATTACGTTGATCCCTTTCTTATAACTTTTTTAATGAATCTTCTGAATTATTCCCAGTCACTATACCGTAGGCAATGTCCCAGCTTGTGAGACATTCGCAAATATTAACTTGAAAAAAAAACCTGATCAAAATGGCTCTCTTTTCCCCTCCATGAACGGAAATCGCAAGCCATAACAGAACAACAACTGGAAACTCAATGGTGCACTGGTTGTTATTCCATACCTTGTCACGAGATTCACTTGTTATTCCATACCTTGTCGAAAGATTCACTTGTTAGACAGTGATGCGTGACTGCCAATATTGAGGCAGGCAATGGTGAAAGCAAGCCCTGTGATTGAGGTCATAGCACGTGACCACACTTTTTCTATCACCCTAAAAATTCGTCGGTATGTCAGTAACCTACTAAGGTTGTAAGCAGTAAGTCAGGGTTTTGAATTGACGAGTTCTGGGTGAAATTTTGCTTGTTTTTGCTTGTTTGTTTTAGCTGAACGATTTTCGCTCAAACAAAAAGCGTATTCCTCAATGGTGAACGCATGCATTGCTTGCCTTCCTTTGCAAAGAGAACAAAAATGATACTTTTGAAAGACGATCTCTTGGGGCATAAGTAATATAATTTTCTTTCATGCATGGCTTCCGTTAAACTCGTTCAATTGCTGACGTACGAAGTCAAACAAAAGGCCCTTGTTTGCTTCAAGATGGTCTGGTCATATCTATCAACATGAACATGAGTTGCAAACGCACATAAAGTACTTTCTGCTGAAATAGCACAGTGGTTACGTTGGCTGGCTACGACTCCGTGGGTTCAAACCCGAATGGCGTCTTTGTTAGATTCATCCTGCGCCTTCTGCCACTTATTATGATTTAAATAACTGTCTCCAAGGGCGGATCCAGGCGGGGGGGGGGGGGAAAGCCCCACCAAAACGAAACCATTTTTTTTTTCTTTTTATGTGACATCGCAATAAAGGCAGGCAATGAGTACACCACCATCTTTTCCTCAAAAAAACATTGGTTAAAGTGGTCAGAAATTGCCTCAGATCGCACCACAGAGCATCTAGAATCCAAATTTTTTTTCGGGGCCCTTAAGCGGGCCCCGAACCCCACGCCGTAATTTTTGGACCCACTTTTTGGACCCAAAATGGTGTTCTGGATCCGCCCTTGACTGTCTCAAGTACCTTAGCGTCATCACTTTCCTGCTTGACCTGTCCGGAAGTCCACTTTTGCATTTTCCTTAAGAATCGAGGCACGTACTGACCCACTCTTGGACCAGGCCCTATGGGCCTTATTCACAAGTCGGCCATATTGGATTGAGAGTGAGGTAAAATCTTCATTTGTGGAATTTGTGTAGAGAAATGACAACAATGACGTTACAAATTAATACCAGTCTGCTCTGATGAATAATCTAACATTTGTGATTAAACATACTACAATGTTTTAAGCCACATTTAAATAAACCATACAAAAGTAAGTAAATGGCCAGTTTGCATATTACACCCAAAAGGTGTTTATTTATTCGGATGAACTCAACTCTGAATATATCAATGAGCTAATGCAAGATTGGTAAAGAAGCAGAACAGATATAATTGATATAAAATCGAATATGCAAAAATTGTAAACAACTGTCAAATGACCGTCAACAAAAGTTCACGTTTGGATGTGACAAAGTTTTGAAAAGGGTAGTTGGCCTGCCTTTTCCCCCGCTGAATTTGTAACGTCTCTCCTTATACAGGAACTGTGCGCATGCTTTATGACACCATGAGTCTCGTTTCAGTATCCACTGACCTCAATAAAGAGCAACTGGCCTGTATTATCTACGGACTACATTTACCAACTGATTATAAGGAAATATATACACCCATTTCATGTCAAGTACATGTACTGCCAATAAAGTATATGCTTTCGAAATGTCTATCAAAATCAGTTTTATTTAAGATTTAATATACGATGTCAAATTAGAACTATAAATCTTACAGAATAATATCTACATCTCGTTTGTACGGGAATATATAACACTTTTATCAAACCACTCATTCCATCTAATTACAGAGAGGCGAGTATTATTAATACCCTCCTAAATGGTAACAATGTGCATTTGACGAAAACGCTTAGATACAATCGCGAGTAAAGACTAAGTTGTAGGTAACTTTAAAAAAAAATTGATACGCAAATAGGCCTATTTATACGGAACACTGAGTAAGTCTACGAAATTTTAAATGTTGAAAAATGTTGAAAACTTATACATATGTAAGAGTAGTCTGGGATATATACATATATAATAATTAGGTGCACCAAAAAAGTAAGAAAATATCAAATAAATTTATACATGATAATAGTTTGCTACCACTACATGAATATAAGATTCTAATCCATTGGAGTGCATTTCGTCAAAATTCATCAAGTCTTTGATTACGAACAAACACTAACAAATATTTCCTTATCAAGAGAGTTCAATTAGGCTATAACTTTGGCATGGATATTATTTAACCAAACCGTGCGTTTATCCCTTACCTTTATATTTCGGAAGATTTATTAGTATTTGGGGCGGATCTAACTTTCAGGATACGGGGGTGGGGTGGTGGTAATGGGGGGGGGGGGTTAAGTGAAACAACCCCCAATCAATTTTCAACATGCCCTCCGAACAATTTTGAAATCTACGATGCATTCTCCTACATTCTAAGTAAATATGAGAATACATTTATGAAGTTTTGCATTCCTATATTGTTTTTGGCCCTTTTCTATACTCGTGTCATTACATCGGCTATACTGAAATCGGCTACTGAAGGGGGTTGCAACCCCCACCCCCCTCCCATCCGCCACTGTTAAACCGTCACTCATACTTCAACGTCGGTGCTATGTCTCTTTACCGTCAGTTGTCGTCCAGCTCAGGGCGAATCATCAAGTACATATAATTTTCGGCCTTCGGTAGAAGTCGCATATACATCTGTAAGATGAGAATAGTATTGTGCAAAGATGTTTGATCCATTTATTCAGGCAGAGCTATCCAATGCATATATAATACATTTTGACGAGAAAAAATTATGTGCTAAGCGAAAACTGGCCACTGACTATCCAAAATCGCAAAAATGTTGCATTGCATTTGTTTATTTTCATACACAACGAATAACAATAAAATAAAACAATTAGTTATAATGTTTCAGAGATTTTAAACAGTTTTTTTCTTCCCCAGCAATTTCATTTAAATCGACCTTATTTCAAAACACTCACATGTTCATTTTGGCTGTCGGCCATACTTGTCAGGCGAGTCACCAGTTTCTTGAAATGAGGTCGGTTGGCCGGGTCGTCCTGCCAGCACAGTAGCATCAAGTTGTAGCTGAAACAAATCAGGTTTAGTTGTTAGTTACAACAGTGTACTGCAGTACCGAAGTGTGTTTTTGCATTTATCTAAAAAAGAAAAGAAAAACACTAAAAGTAGTAAAATTAAATGATAGACTATAATTATGCCACAGGAAAAAGCAAAGAACCTTTACAAGTTCAATACTATAGTCTTATTTGTGAAGTGTAAAATGCATTCAGAAGACAACCATCGTAAGTAGGCCTATACAAAAACTCTCAACAAGCATGTCGTACATTTCATCATCACAGTTGCTTGGTCTGGACATGCGGTATCCATTCTCCAACCTCGACAAAAGATTCTTAGATTTAATGTCTTCGTAAGGAGTTGCACCTGAAAAGGAAAACAAACAAAAACAAAATTGAGAGGTGGAAGAAATGATGAATTTTGCATGTGCACTTGTTTCAAATGTTGAACATAAACACCTCAGCCAAATTCCGGGTAGGTACTTTTTTCAAGCACATTAAGTGACCAATGACATCGATAAAAAAACAACAGGATAATAACAATTAAAAAAACACAATACATTACCTAAGGTTGCAATTTCCCACAGGAGGATTCCGAAGGACCATCTAGGAAATTAGAAGAAAACAAAGACACAAGGAATGCAACCACTGATTGCAATGACGATGTTCGAGTTGTCTTTAGTTCTTAATATTCTCTATACTCACAAATGCATTCTTAGAAATACTTACACGTCACTCTTCAATGTGTTAATCTTGGAAGTCAACGACTCCAGAGACAGCCAGCGAGTAGGAACCGGAGTCTGCAAGGAGATATCAAAGAAGGACGTAAGTTCTTTCTCAAAAAGTATACAAAATGAAAGGTTATGAAAATGTTTATGAGTAGAGCCGTTTACCATGACAATGCAATGACATAAAAAAAGTTACTATTTCCTTTTTCTATAAAAAATACTAACCCTCGAAGTTTGGACGTAGATATCCTCTCCTCGAGACAAGCCAAAATCAGAAACCTTGGCAACTAGTTGACTGCCAAGGAGGATGTTCCTTGCCGCCAAATCACGATGGATTATCTGCAGTGAGATACGTGCTTAATAATTGAAAATCTTCGAAACAAAAATCCCGTTACTTTATATATTATTGGTCACAAACTGGATGTCAACTTGCGGATGTCTTGCATGATACACGACCGAATTTGTAGGCGACCATTTAAAAAACTGCTAAACCGCTTGGTTTCCTCTAGATACAAGTGACATTTAGACAGCTTTTTCTTATTTGTAAGCATAGTTATGACCGCAGCTTTTTGAAAATCTTCGGTTTCATAAACGGGCAAGAAATAAATGCTCTTTATGAGTCCTTAGGCCTATATAGCAAACGTGATACTTACCCCCAGTGCAGCAAGGTGTTGCATTCCTTTGGCAACATCCAAAGCAAACTGAATCAGCTTCTCAGAAGACAGAGTTGACTGATCATCGTCCCCCAGGGATCGGGCATTTCTCAGGTAGGTGCGCAGATCACCATTTGGCATGAACTCAAATGCAACGTACAGATTGTCTGGTAGAAAGAAATTTGCTGTCCTCATAAAACTGAAGATATAGGCCCTATCTGTGGAGTTTTCGAGAGTCTAACTTTGGGATATCAAGACTACATTCCTGTATCATGATTTGTTTCTCGAGGAAAAATGAAAACTTTTAAACCAAAGTGAAGTATCTGTTTCTCGAGTAGACACTTGTTAACAAATCAGCCGGTTTATTTCCGGAATATGAAGTTGCAATGAAAATTCTAATTGCAGAATTATATCATTCGACTTCTGATGGAATTATTTAACGATTTCACGTACCTTCATGTTGACAAGCTCCAAGAATACTGACCACGTTTGGATGCTGTCCAACTGTTGTTAGAGTCCGAAATTTCTCCATGAAATTCAGCCTGTCATTTGCTGATGCATTCGCTGTGACAATTTGAAGAATAAGATTACTTTACTTGATTATAAATTGTTATAAAGATAACACAGAATGAACTTCTTGGTTCTTTTTGGTATAGGTTCTCCTCCATAGAGGAGTTATAACCGGAGCAACTGCAAGAAACACCGGGGCAAACCTCTTCTCTTAGCGATAAGCGTTATTGGGTTCTTTAACGTGCATTACACAACACGCGGGACCTACGGCTTTACGTCCCATCCGAAGGACGAAGCAATAATGGTTAAGTGTCTTGCTTAAAGACACAAGTGTCAAGACCGGGACTCGAACCCACACTCTGCTGCCTCTGAAACACCAGAGCTTGAGTCCGGTGCTCTTAAGAGCACTTCTTAACTGCTCGGCCATGACATTTCACTGGATTCAGAGGCGTAACAAGGTAATTTTTGTTTGGATGGTTAAAAATGTATTGAAAAGGGGCACTTGCACATCTGTGCTGAAATCACAGCTATTTTTCTCCGGACACTTGGTGGGGGTGGGGGGGGGGGTGCTGGTAGCTTGCAATGGGGGCGCTGGATGATCATTGACACTATCAGATAATAGGTGCCTTTTTTCAGAAGGGTACATTGCCGACGGTCACTCGAAATTCAAAAAAGGGCACTTCTAAAAGGCCGCTTGATAAAAAGGGCACTTGTTTAAAAACAAAAGGGCAATCTTAACAAATATTGAGGAGGTGGGGAACGCGGGTGAAAAAAAAGGACACTTGGATAACAAAAGGGCAATCTTTACGAAATGTTGGGGGAGGGGGATAAATACACCCCTTGGTTGGCTACGCCACTGGAATTTCATATGGAACTTACTTGTTTTACGCACCATTAATAATCGTCTTCACTTAAAAGATCAAATTGGAATTAAAGCAATGGTCAAAAGATTGATTGACATCAGCAGTCTTCTTTGAAGTGTGCTTTGCTTTGTGATTTAACTGACAATGGGTACACAAAGGGGTCTACCCATATGTGTTGAACAGCATCACAAACATCTCAAAGTTGGCCTCAGCGCGAACGATCAATATACCTTTATCATGCTGCCACCATTTCAGTCATGTTCCCTGTATCCAATAACAGTACTGAATAATAACTTTTTGGTGCAAATAGGAACCAGACTATTTTTTCCTTCCAGTCTCACTTTGGTCACGTTGATTAGAATGGGAAAAAATCAAGATGGCACCAACATAATAATGGTCTATCTGAGACATTTAAAGTTTTCCCCTTTAGTGTCTTTATGGCTGCTTTTGAGATATCTCCTCCAACCATCACTGCTCCGTCGCGAACTTCTCCAAAATTTCCCTTGCCCAGGATCTTTTCGCCGATGATCATATTCTTCAATGGGATACTCCAGCTCTGGGCCCAGGACGGCAGGCCTGGATCTTCATAAGTTGGCGATGGAGCGACACTCACGTCATCGTATGATACTGGCCGAGCATGGCCGACCCTCTCGTAGTCTGTCACACTGGTGTCATTGGGCTGAAACATTTCATTCTCATATGTCACCTATAAGACAAGAAAGGAGTTGACATCCTCAAATCCCAATTTTTGAAGAAAAAATAAAACAGAGTGAGTATGAGCCGAGCAAAGTAAAAGTAAACCTAGAAGATCATTGTCTAAATGGGCTTGGAGCGTTGTATTTGAAAGCAATTATTAACAAAAAGCCTTGAAAATCAACCATAGGCTAATCCAGGTGACAGGGAGAATAATTATGCCCTGCATGCCCAAGTCAAAGTGCAAACTAGTTTCTCCATTTATATATCATTTATTGACACTTATACTCACCAATTCCTGCCCTCCCGTTGATTGTGTTTTTGCGGACTTTCTTCTACTTCTTCGATGACGCAGGAAACAAATGCCTGAAACCACAGTCACGACAATCACGACAATCACGACGACGACAATGACAACAATCAGGACTATGCTTGATGAGCCAGATGGGGTTGGTTGTGGGGGAGTTGGCGCTGAGGAACAAAAAATAATGGGAAAAAGTAGCCTTGATTAAAAATATTGTATTATTATTGATCCGTGATGTGTGAATACGTTTTTCTCTCTTTCACCAACAGTCAGACTGAAACAACATGTTAGTGCTTTTGCAGGTCATCTTTGATGTCACCTTTAGTTAACGGAACATGACAAGAGTCAGGCCAGCGGACTCTTGCAGGGTATGAGAAATCATGTTATTATTGTCAGACTTCAAAAACAGTGGTTTTCGATTTAACACCGGTGGTATTGACATTACAGGCGCACCGATGGTATAATTTTTTGTTTTATGTAGAGATGTGTTAGACGCAGTTTCTGAAGTGCATCAAAACGAATCTCCTCTTAAATTGTTTGAATAAATTTTGTTCACATATGTAAATATGCTCACGAGGACGAGGGTATTGAACTAGACTGACAATAAACAAATGGCATGTTTCCCTTAAACGGTCGTCCTTGGATTCGAAATTTTATAGACATAACGGAATCCCTCAAACACACTGCGCGTTTTGAAGCATCTCTAAAATGTTTCATTGTAATGTATGACCTTTGATATTTGAGGTTGTATATGCTATCGGAGGTAGGTTCTTTACACGTGTAGTTGATTCAGTGGATGATGTGGCTGATTCCATGGTTGATTGAGTGGATGGCGTGGCCGATTCCATGGCTGCAGGACCGCCGGTGGTTAGTGTTGGTGGTAACTCAGGTAGGGTCAATGTAAACTGAGTTGCAGGACACATTGGTCCTTCTCCTCCTGGCCCCTCTCTCTCGCTGCAGCCACACTGAACATGTATTCAGTATTTGGGTTTAATGGTTGAACAGTGGAGCTGTCCCCCCAAAAAATGGGTCAAAAATTACGGCGTGGAGTTCGGGGCCCGCTTAAGGGCCCCTAAATTTTTTTGGATTCTAGATGCTCTGTGGTGCGATCTGACGCAATTTCTGACCACTTTAACCAATGTTTTTTTGAGGAAAAGATGGTGGTGTACTCATTGCCTGCCTTTATTGCGACGTCACATAAAAAAAAAAAATTGGTTTTTTTTTTTGGGGGGGGGGCATGGCCCCCTTTGGCCCCCCCCCCTTGTACGTAGTCTCAGGTGGGTTTGTCACTAGCACAGCATCAGCAGCAATCCATGATATGGGGGATGCAACGGAGTAGTAGACTGTGTATGCAATGACCGGTCCATATCCTGCATCCACATCGGAATCCCATGCCTGTCAGCTGACCGTGGCTGATGTAGATGCAACTGTCACACTGGGTGGCAGACTCAGCTGAGGTAATGCTAAAATAAATGAACTATTCCGTTAGAGGTTTAAAGACTGAGAGAGATTTGATTGAATCCGTTCAGAGGATTTTTCCCCGCATTGCAAATTATTGTTTCAACCGAAACGCTCTTCAAACAAACCTTGCTCAGATGATTGTTGTTCACTGCTGCCTGGGACGGCTGGCTAGAAATGAATAATACACAATTGATGGAAATCGTTCTTGTGTTCGTGCTTTATATCTGTAAACGGTGTCATGTTCCTCCGAAGAAACAGTTTTATATAATATTCACCGTATATATGTATATATGTATCACGGAGGGGGACAAGAGATCGTATTAAATATAATTCGTCATTAATGACAAACACTTCAATAATGAAATATGAATAAAAAATATCCTAATAAATTTCCAAGTTGTACAGATTCCTGTTCGGCGTATATTAAATTGTACGATTTTTTGCGGCTTATACTCCTATTCATTTCTCAACACAGCCACCAGATCTTTACATTTTGATTATCTGTTTCTGATATAACATTCTAGCAAACTGCACTGCAAAACAATAATGAAATAAGAAAGCGAGTGTTGGTTCTCTGCTGTAGGCCTAATGCAAGGAAGTGGTTTGTATTAAAAGTAAAATGCATATTAGTTTGTTCAGCCTTAATATTCATATTCTGTGATGTGAACTATCTGGGTACGACAACGCTGTTCAGGTGACTTACCATAAAAATCTACGTGCAAGGACATGCTTGTAGTTATCATGTTGTAGTTCAGAATACAGTAAATGCTTTCATTGGTCCGTAGTCCGGGTACAGAATATGTGTTGACCAGCACCCAATTGACAGTTGCAGAACTTGTGATGCGAAAAGTATCTCCATTCCCATTAGGGGAGGTTGATAGGGTGATGGAAGAGGCTGGGAGGGTATCGAACGAGGATGCTGCACATCTGAAGTCAACATTCTGACCTGGATTGGTCTTTGCTACTACCTTGAACTCGGTTATGCCTTGGGAATCATTGAGGAAAAGAAAACAAACAGATTTGATATTACTTTGACGTCCCTGTAAGATTTTAAAAAACATGGGACTCGCCCATCACCAGGCAAGAAGGCAGCTCAAGGTGCGGGCTACAAAAGAAAGTATGGAGGAAAAACGTTACGGAGAGAGAAGATATATATTCACATTTTCTTTTGAACAGGAATAGATACGTTGGTGGAAAACAGGATTCGGGTAAGGAGTTCCAAGTGCATGAGTACGAGATCAAAAGCTGAAAGGATATCTTATAGTACTAGCATTTTGAACATATACAGTGAAGGGATGAGAGGAGATTGCAAAACGTGTGCTGCGAGTGAAGGTACGATCAGAGGGGTCAACAAGTGAGAGACCTTCTATGCACACACCATGATAGTATCTATAGAACAGGCTGAGAAAAGCAACAGAACACCGAACAGAAAGATATTTTAGGGATGATGACAGGTCCAGTCCAGCAAAATAAATAGCAAACCCATTTACAAAATGTGCACAATTCATTCGCAAACTCGGCCTTTATACCTATAAGCTTTGGTTGTCAGATTTAATAAGAATAGAATTCGATTTTTTTGTGTGATAGAATCTAGAAATTATATTGAAATATGATTTTTTCCTCCAATAGCATCATACCTTAGGCATGATAAAATCACGCTTTGTTTACATGTGCGCTTTTCTATGTGAGGCAGTTGGGGACGCCAGCCAATCCGTGGATCTCATAGGAAAGCACACATGCAAACAAAGCGTGACGTCATTGTCTTAGATCCATCGCATTATTATGTCGTAGATATTAAAGGCATATTAGACGTCAGAGGTGACGTCAGATTTTGCGTTATGCAAAATAAAATTAAAAAGAAATATGTTACATTGCATAATACATGCATGATTTAAATTTCGGGAAAATTATTACACTTTCTCTTTTGAGTAAATTAACGTTTGCCAATGGATGAATGTTCAGCTTTTTCCCCAACCTGTCAAACGTTTTATCTTTTTTTTAAAAAGTATTTTCCCTTTAGCCCTTGATTGTTCCGAACTCTTCTCACAGTTATTCTATTAAGCATTACGAAGTAGATGTTGCATTACCCGTAGAATTAAATATTATCTATTTGTTTGGTGTCGAAATATAGCGTCAGTGAACACGTCTCTTACCAAACAAACAGTTGTTAATGTGGACATCTGACTGGAAGCCAGGTTCACATTCGCCGTCTGATCCAACACAGTACTGCGAGTTCTCGTTACATGCTGCAGTATTCAGACAGTGACAGGCCCTGACGCAGTTTGCTCCGAAAAATCCTGCAGGACAGGCTTCTGGTACTTCAAGTCCAACATTTAAAGAAAGCACGTCAAAATGTGATTTTGTTTAATCTTTCTTGTAATTTTTCTTCGCAATTTCATCTCATTAACTTTTTTTTCTCGCAGTCAACGAATCATTGAATACAATCAAATGTACCTGAGAATTTAATCGCAGTCGATTTAACTGTGTAAAAATTAAGTTCACATAAACAATGTAAATATGCTTACGAGGAGGAGGGCATTGAACTAGACTGACGATATATAAATTATACTCTTCAATATCACAAACCAAACCAAAACATGTTTTTAAAATGATGACTCTCATTTATACAAACAATGTTAATACAAATTCTGCTTATAGCAAACATAAGGACTTGGTAGTGACTGTGCATTTATGTGCAGAATGTTTTGGAACGGCATTCCGCTTAATACATAATTCTGATATAACAAAAAAGAAATTGGCTAGGTTTAGCTGAGTTTGTACTAACGAGAGACTTTCATATTAAAACACTCTGGTGAAGAGAGTACCAGTTCTAGTTGAAGAATATTTTGAGCTTCACTCATTTATTTATTTTACTGACCTGATAATAAAAGAAAACGAATATGTGAAATACTCTTATTTAGAATCATCATATCTTCATATCAATCATATTTTGGTTACTTACCTGACACACAATGCAATCCTAAAGCACACGCACCATTACTGCAAAGACCACTGTCTCTACTACAGGGTTCATCATCGAAACAATGACACTTGCTCAGGCACTGTACACCATAGTAACCGACTGGGCAGTCACCTGGAACTTCATGGGTTAGCGAACCAAATAAAAATACATTGAAACACTAAAAAAAATAACTTCGTTTGTTTCATCCTCATAAATGACAGACAATAAAGGGTGTAAGGATACATGTAAGAACTAGCCACAACATAACATATTATGTGAGGGAAATGCGAACATCCAAATTTTGAATACGGTTATTTGAAATGGGGTTCGAAATACCAGTAAATGCCTCTTTAGGTTGGATATCTGCGTGTTATCACAGGCTAATAAAACTTTATTTTGGCCAAAGGTTCATCACAAATTATTAACGAAGAGGAAAACTCAAGGTACGTAATGTACCCATGTTTCAGTTTTTCCAGAAGCTCGTCTCTCGATTGGCAAAAGAATCTTGTTTTTCGCGTTTCATTGTTCTCCAAAGAATCGAAATTGTTGTGTTATCCTCGCCAGTGAAAGAAGTATAGTGAGGTCACACTTTTACGTATTTCAACTTTGACTACCACACTGACTATGCTGCATAGGTGGGAGTGCTTTACAATAATGTATCAAAAATTGTATCCAAATCAACTTACTTTGACAACTCGTGCCCGACCACCCGAATTCACATCCATTCGTACACTCGCCCGTGTACGGATCACAGTCTCCAGACTGACAATGACAGGTCTGCGTACATCCAGCACCAAATGACCCTGAAGTGCATACTAAACAGACATAACAACACATTAGAACGGTACGATCTTTCAAATTGGGCGTGAAATTAAGGGTTTTTTCAGATAAAATCTAAAATTGCCGGATCAGATTTGGCCCGGAATTCGGTTGATATTTGACATGATACTTTTCCAGGTGAAAAATTAAACTTTTCCAGGTAAAATTATACTTTTCCGGTTCAAAATTAAACTTTTTGGGTCAATATTTGACTTTTCCGCGTCAATATTAATCTTTTCCGGTCATAATTAAACTTTTCCGGGTCAAAATTATACCAGTGATGTAGTGCCTTGATGCTGGGCCTTGGCCTTAAGGCTGCCTTAAGGCTGGATTTTGGGGCCTTGGCCTTGGCCTTGAGGCTTGAGGGCAAAAGCCTTGGCCTTGGCCTTGGCCTTGAGGGATCACAGCCTTGCAATTTTGAGTCAAGGCCCTTCAAGGCCCATAGATTTTTGCATTTTCCAGATAAATCTGTTCGAAATTTTGCTGTTACCATTTTAATCGTATTACCATGGAGGAGGGAAACCCCTTGTAGATTTGTGTGTTGGGCACACTTCCACTTTTATAGCATCACATGTTGTTACCATTGTAGTAGATTTGCTGCAAAAATATTCTGTACACTTGTGGGGCTAATGAGATGATCACTTAAATTGCATACAATTATGGAATAGATTGGTCATTCCACCGGGTTGGGGAACAAAGTGTGACATATGACCATATTAAGAAAAGCATGAATGCCTTGCTAGCAGTTGCTCTACATAATATTTGTTGTTGGGTGTTTCACGACTGCAGAAAGTTTGAAATCATTTCAATGTATTTTGCCAAAATTATGAGCAAAAAATGTAATTTTGGATGTAACATTGACACCGTGTCAGTGTTACGTCCAAATATGACATTTGTTATCTTTTTTTTTAAAATTTCTTCGAAATATTACCCAAATTTACTTCGCGTACTTCTTACTATAGATGCAACACAATAAGAGAAGCTTTTGTTATGGTAGTCAGACATCAAATGGAGCAGAAATGATAGCTTGTTTGTGTGGATGTAACATTTACACGGTGTAAACCCCAAATGTCACACTTCCATTGAGTGATTTTTACACCGTTACATCCACACTTGAGGTATTGTTTCTGCCATATTTGAACCCTGACTATACCAAAACAAAAGTTTGTCTTGGTGCTTAGGTGTCCAGTTGTAAATATGCAATGTCAGTTTGGGTAACATTTTACATACACGTGTAGAATATGGCAAAAAAAAGAATTTTTGGATGTAACATTGAAACAGTGTCAATTATGTTACATCCGAATTAATACATTTTTGCTCATATTTTTGTCAAAGTACTTTCAAATGATTTCAAACTTTCTCAAATATTGAAACACCCTAAGACAAATATTATATTAAGCAATTGTTTATAATGCATTGATATTTTTAATAATATAACCAAATATATGGATGTAACATGCACTGCTTCCCAACCCGGTGGAATGACCCAGATCTGATTGGTTGTATGTCTCCCTGATAAAGATTTGCATGTATCTGTTTTAGAAAATGCTGATATTTCTGACCATGTTGGCACAGCAAATAAACATTTCCCAATCAGTTTCTAGGATCCCCCTTTTGTTACACTTGGGAGAATTGTGCGTCAATATAGAAGTAAATCTTTATTTTGTTTTAGTTAAACCACATTGAAGACCTGCACTAGATCTAATGCAGTCATAAAACGGTGTATGCGAGCATGTTGATTGCAATTTAAGACATGTTGTTCTTCTTAAAGGGAATATACAACACTTGCAAACATCGAAAAATAAAACTACCAAGTTTTTGCGAAATACCTTAACAGGATGTTGGTAAATGACAGTATAAAGCATCCTGTAAAATTATGGCACCTGGTATACTGTCATTTTCAAGAAAAGTGGTATTTTTGTATCAATTTCCAACGCTGATCGGCCGATCAGCGTTGGAAACAACTGGCTTTTTTTCAAATACTAGCCCCAATTGACCATTGCACTTGTTTGCAATCGATTACAAACCTATAAACGGGTACGAGCCAGCTAGACTGGTTCCCTGACCTTACAATTCCCCCAAAGTATGTAAACTGCTCTGTTTCTTCTTATATGGAGTCAGGGAACCAGACTACAGGAAAATGATCGTTTTTCTTGGTTTTTATAGCATTTTCGAACCAAAAACCTCCAAAAAGTTAGTGTAACTATATTTGCTTTATATTTCCAACCCCCCAATTCCATCCATTTCTGAAAATTACAGCAAAAGCAAATGATGTATATTCCCTTTAATGGGCGATTCGTGATGATGAGTCATGTGACTATAATTAGTTCTATATCAGTGGTCATTTTATAAAACAGGGCCTTGGCCTTGAGGGTTAAGCCTTGGCCTTGGCCTCGAGGCTTGAAGGTCTAAGCCTTGGCCTTGGCCTTGGCCTTGAGGGTCAAAGCCTTGGCCTTGGCCTTGGCCTTGAAGGTTTAAGCCTTTGCTCCAACACTGAATTATACTTTAAAAATAGTCAGACGCCGGACACCTTTTTTTGGGGACTGTATGGTACCTCTGACAACCGACTTGTGCAAATTAGTTCTTACCTGTATCACAGTATCTACCCGAGTATCCTGAGATGCAGCTGTTCCCGTAAGGGTCCGGCAGACCAAACTGGCTCCCTGAACAACTCTGAATGACGTCGTTTGGGCCGCCGCACTCATGTTCACAATGCCACCCGAATCTGTGTCTACCACAAGCTGTAGAAAGCAGCAATCCAACATATTTGTGTATTCGTTACTGCAGTGAAAAGATCTTGTGTTAATTCAAGGAACTCAATACATATTGATTTATTCGGTTGAGTACCGGGACGAATTAGAATAAATCTGCTTTATCATTGATATGTAAATGAGACACGGTAGAGTGGTTAAGGGCGGGTAATTTGAATAGGGAGTGGCACAGGAATGTGTGCGTGGTAGGATTGAAGGTAGATCACTTCACGCTTGCGAGCAGCAACGACAACACACAATTTTTGTGGCGCTGTACTTCCATTGCGTTATATCAGCAAATGGGAGAGACGGCAGTTTTGCTCTCCTAAAGTCAATTCGACATCTCATTTTAAGAAGCTACATTACATTAATGGCTACTGACAACAGAGCTCGCCCCTACATCGGTATCAATCAAGAGAAGACAGTCGCCAATAGCAGAGGGACCGAAGATCGGAAAGCAGAAAGCAGAAAGCCAGTTTACGAAGCTAAGTTAAATTACAGTCTTTTTAATTTGCAAAAATGTAGTTGCAGATGTTGAAATTCACAGAAGATTTCTTTTGAGAACGGAGAGAATTCTGGTTCCGAACGAAGAGGGTTCTGGAGATTTGCTTTCCCACCGTGAATTGTGGGGACTTTTACACTAGTTCTTTTGTTATAAGATGTAACCAGTCCCAGAAAATGGTCAATTTCTGAAAACCCACACTCTACTTGTTTGAGACGAAATATAGGCCCTAGATTGAATCGATGTTCTGCCATATAAGTTGTTGGAAACCCATAATAAAGCCGTTTATCATTAATCCTTTGTAAGTTTCAATTCAGTGACAACATTTGAATGTCGTCCGAAAAGGGAGTAGATAGCCCTGGCATCACTATGGCATCAAAAAAAAAAACCCTGGCATCAAATTTGGTGATACGCCCATATTTCTTTGTTCCTTGACAACGCATTGATTCACGTTGAAGTTTGATCTGAAAATCTTAATATCACCTTGTGAGCGTTTGACCAATCAGGTTTTCCTGGGTTTCACAGAAATTGGTTTTTCCAATTGTTCCAATTCCTACCATCATATGTGTCTTTAAATTGAGTGTACCAAAATAGTACGACCGCTGGAAAAGGGGGCAATTGCAAGAACAAGGATAGTGGTCTTAGAGGACGGCTTGGAACACTCCAGTTTCCTTCAGAAAGCCATAGACTAGAGAGCACAGTGCTCAAACCAAAAGTGGTTGGTTCTAAAAATGCGCAAAACGGGGTTGAAGTGTTGAGGAAGTTGGTTCAGAAGGTCAGAAATGCAGAATTATGCATACATGTCATGTATAGATGACTTGCTTAACGATGGTTTAGAGATTTTGCCATCTTATTCCATTTTATAACAATTGCTTTCAGAAAGTCAGAGAGCACATGTTCAACTTAGGCGGAGAATGTATTTGGATTAGCAAAGTGTTTTTGTCTAGTGCGAAGGCGGAGAAGTGTAGAAATACAAGATGTCTTTTAGACGATGATTGAGTTTGCCAGTTCCTTCAAAACCAGGGAGAAGATTTAGTTCTAGTAGGCTTAACTTGAGATTCGTAAGTCCAAAGGTATTTAGAATCCCGTTTCACTGATGTATTTACATCTGTTTCTCAACAAAGTTCACTAGTCTTGTTCGGAGTAAAGTTCCTTCAGTTTCAAAACTGTTCCACCGACGCTGGACGCACTGGCAGTACAAAAGGGATTCAATAGAATATTTGGGCATCGGTCAGATAGCGAGATGACTCGAAGCTCGACTCGGAGAGAATCGAAGACAGTGAAATTGGCCTCAAGTTAACCCTTCTATGGAAACATGCATGGTCAGCGTAGTTTATTACTTGGCCTAGTCTTGGCCAAGATAACCACATTGGTTTAATATGAAAGCCACGAGTATCACCATACAAGAGTTTAGTGGTTTACGTGGCAATAAAGTTAGGGTCAGAGTCGTTTCTGACAGAAGTATAAAACGAGATGCGTTCAGAACGCCAACAAGACAGTCTCAGCAGACTTACACCAAAATATGGTGATATCCTCAGCGGATGTTTGGTATTGTAAAAGTTACAATTGATCTCCCCAGCGGATGTTGATTCAGATTTGGCAAATAAGCTTTTATTTGTATTCAGAGTATAGTTATAGCAATAAGCAGTGGGAAATGCGCTTTTAATTAAATGCACTTAATAAAGAAAGTGTTTAATAAGTTGACGCATGATTTTAATCTCGTTAAAGTAACAATCATTGTTATTTTCCTTTCTGGAAGCTCATCTTCAACAGCGATAATTGGAGGCAGCGGATTCCTCCATCAGCCAAAAGTCAAGAGCTGGATATAGTCTCGCCAGTCAACTGCCTTCCATGCTACTCGAGTCACAAGCCCCATCAACAGTCTCGCAGTACAGATCATCCTTCACGAGATGGCGACAATAGGCAGAGTTGCACGGAATAACATCCCTACCCGCAGATCCTTACACGGTAGCCTTATACCTGATCCATATTGGAACTCTGCAACATCACCATGCACCTACAGTCACAAACTCTTTATCTGCCATATCATGGGTTCATCTCATGGCTAGTTGGGGACCATGATACAACCAAAGACCCTCTCGTGTCATACACCGCGCTAAAGGTCTGACAAGAACACTGGTTAAGCCAAAGAAAGATCCAATTACACCAGATATTCTTTCTGAGATGGTGCCAAAATAGGGTAAAAACCGTTCAGTACACATCTTATTTCATATAAGAATCATGGTCAAGGCCCTTATTTCATATACCGGGTCTTACCGGGTCTAATTGACTCAGTGAGTTAGCCGCACTTTAATTTACGTATTTACGTGTTATCTCATGCACTCGGCAATGTGAATTCAGTTATTATTGAGAGGTAATTATTGTCAACATGTACAGTTGCAATGTTGGAATTGTATGTCAAGTGAGTCAAAGTCTTCCCTTCAGATAAAGACCTTCTTTTGTGTTCAGAAACTTAAACAAATTTTAAAGAAGAGTATAAAGTGATTTCACAGAGGTATAAACCGATGAAGTACTCGAGAGTTTGAGAGGGAAGGTTCGAGTTTTCCTAGAGCAGCCCCATGCTGCTGTTGGAGTCTTAGCGGCTATCAAAGCAGATATCCAACAGGCTGTTCAAGCGTCATGGACGCTATATCAGAGACAGCGAAGGATACTTTAATATATCCAAGAGAGTGATTGCAATACGATGTTAAATATCTAAATCCTTTTGGGGATTCAGCATTACAGACCCGTTCTTTATAGTTCATACCGGTTGCTGCTGCAAGCACAAATACCAAAATCAGGATGATTTGATTGTTTATTGTGTAGAATGGTGTTGAAATGATAAATATTGATTTATTCGGTTGAGTACCGGGACGAATTAGAATAAATCTGCTTTATCATTGATATGTAAATGAGACACGGTAGAGTGGTTAAGGGCGGGTAATTTGAATAGGGAGTGGCACAGGAATGTGTGCGTGGTTGGATTGAAGGTAGATCACTTCACGCTTGCGAGCAGCAACGACAACACACAATTTTTAACACAGTTGTTAAGTCTGGTTGTAATTTCATAGTTGTTCAATGTCTCAAACAGTATTTATAAGAGACGAACATTGCTACCCTTGCCTGAAGGAGTTGTCTTGCATAGTTCAGGTGTACGTTTCCATTTTTCCAAATATGGTTTTGGTTTTTCGTATCTGGCAGTCAACACAGCAATGTTAGATGGGGTACAAATCCAGAAACAGCCATAATGTAATAGACGAGTGGTATCTTGCGATTATTCAATTATAAGTATAGCTAAAGGCTCTGAAGCCTAAAGGAAAGTTTTGTAAAGCTGAAAGGTTCAAATGAAATCCACCGTAACAAGTGGCAATCAAGGTATGGTCGAAGTAGTCTCTGACGGAGGTATAAAACGAGAATTGCAGGTTGGCAGTAAGATTCATAAAGATCAGATCTACTAGATGAGATGCTGGAATTGTTCTAGCGATCTAATGCGTTCAGAACGCAAACAAGTCTGAATAGACTTGCACCATAGTATGCGTGATTTATCCCCAGCGGAAGGTATTTGGTATTGTACAAAACCAAAAAAGATAGTTCTGAAAAGCTTGCCTTAATATAATATCAAATGTGGTACGAATATTCAGAAATAACCATAACACTTGTAAAGAGGAGAGAAGTCTCAAGGTTAATTCTATTATTGATTACGCAAATATGCTAAATGAAAGGCTCTTACGCCTAAATGATAGACCCTAGTTCTGTAAATATTGTCTCCATCAAGACGTCTTTAAGGTTCAAATTATTGAATGATGAATTAAAACACTGTCGTACCTGGTAGTCATCATGCACAGCAATGACACTAAACATAATATCAAATGGGGTACGAATAATTAGAAATAATCATAACAATTGTAAAAACGAGTGTTGTACGTCTCAGGTATAATTCTGTATAATTAATTGATAACTTAAATGTGTCTATAATGAAAGGCTCTTACGCCTAGATAACAGATGATAGTTCTGTAAATACTATCAAGTCTTTATTAAAAGGTTCGAATTATTGAAAGATGTAATTAAAACATTGGGTCGGCGTACCCGGTTGCTGCTGCAAGCACAAATACCAAAATCAGGATGATTTGATTGTTTATTGTGTAGAATGGTGTTGAAATGATAAGCACTGATTTCAGCTAAGCTGAGAAGTATTTTGTTTAGCAAAGTTACCATTCAAGATGTCATATCATGTATGATACTGTTAACTAGTACAAAGAATTTTGGCATTTCAAGCAGTATTTCCAGTCTTATACTGTAGAGAATCCGTTAGCACAATCATTCTAAACTAAACAGTAACTAAAACCTAGAGCGCAAGAGAAGAAGCGAATAGGTTCTTTCAATACGCCTTATATTCTCTGCTACCGGAAGGAGCAAGAAGAGTGTCACTATTGGTCAAAACTCCGAGTCACTTGTGCCTGCATGCGTCAAAATCAGTTAATCTGTTTGTCAGACTTCACCATCCCCTCAGCATATTAATACGACTTTGATGACAAACCGACTACATGTATATGGAGGTGACAGACTCCACCCTTCCCAACCACGCCAATGCACATGGGCGTCGCCAGGATTTTTTCTAGAGGGGGGCAAAAAAAAAATTGGCCAAAAAATGCTTGTATTTCTCAACACATTCTCGATTTATCAGTTTTAGAGGGGGGCAGGGACATTTTGCTCCCCCCCAACTCATTAAATTTACACCACTTTCTTTCTTTCTTTCTTTCTTTTTTTTTCTTCCTTTTTTTTTTTTTTTTTTTTGCTTTTCCGGGGGGGGGGGGCAAGTGCCCCCCCTTGCCCCCCGCCTCGCGACGCCCATGCCAATGCAGTCATCTACAGCTCGACAGCTTATACGTTTATGTGTGATCTGGTGCGCAGATACAGTCTCCTGTCTCACCACCACACACTCCTTATTGAAGCAAGGGTAGCCCAAAAGACCGATGTACAGACATATCACACACCGGACAGAATGAAAACCATTCTGCCCAGCCCATCAGCCCAATACACAGAAAGCCAGACCAGGCAACGGGCTTTCTGAGGTCCCATGAATCCTGATGGGCAGATGCAATCAACTGTCTTATCATCACACACTCCTCCATTGAAGCACATAAATCACACGCTCAGACCGACAGCCCGCCCGACGGACGGACCAGGCAATGAGCTTACCTGTGAGGCAGTTTGGTCCACTGAATCCTGGTGGGCAGATACAATCTCCTGTCTCATCATCACACACTCCTCCATTGTAGCACAGATCACACACTCAGACCGACAGCCCGCCCGACAGACAGACCAGGCAATGAGCTTACCTGTGAGGCAGTTTGGTCCACTGAATCCTGGTGGGCAGATGCAATCTCCTGTCTCATCATCACACACTCCTCCATTGAAACACAGATTGCATATCTTTTCACATCCTGGGGGACCCCACTTGCCTGCCACACAGCCTGTTAAATTAAAATGAATAACACAAAGTTTATGATTAACAATTTACTCTCCGATAAACTGTATAAAATGTGGCAAATCATCTGGCTCCTTTGACAAAATGAAGTTATATTTTGCAACGATGTGATACAAAACGAAATTTTCCTGGGACAAAACTAACAAAAGTCAGGTCTTTTTGACAAAGACATGTGTCACTTTGTACCAGGGAAAGGGTCCCAGCTCACAGGTCAATCTGATTTGTGAGGTTTGAGAGTGTGTGTACCTCTGACTATGAGTCTAGTCATACTGAAATGATTGTCACTGACATCGAACGGATCCGCGACGGCTGTGTACAAATCCCCATCCACAGTTTCCCGAGGTGGCACCTTGATACTGCTCTGACGAGCGTCGGGGTATGTGTAGTTTAGGACTCCGTTCCGTGTTCGTCGCCAGAGAGGAAGGCCACCTGAACCAACTTGGGTGACCGTGAGGGTCACATTTTCTCCTTTGTTGACCGTCTTTGTCACCAGTCCATCAACAGTTTCCAACCTCCCTGCAGGCAAAAACAGACATACGTTTCGAAGTTACGAACATTTTAGAGATATAACTGGCGGTCACCTTTTTCTTTGGTAAAAATCCATCAGTGGGCACAATGCTTGGAAAGATTCCCATATCTGGCCATCACTTGTCACCCTGTGCACAAACCCTATGAGACTGGTCTGAAAATTTCTAAGTGTTTTCTCAGTATATTCTTCAATATTGTCCCTGCTAAATTTGACTTTTTAGGACATATTATCACTTTCTGATGGTTGATAGGTCACTGAAGGGAAAAATTAGTGATGGCCAGATATGGGAATCTTTCCCAGTGCTTTTTTAAATGGGTGATGTATATTTTATGGTGATATGGCATATCCTATACATTTTGAAGCTCGCTATTTACTTCAACAGTATTGTGCACTTACTGTGAACACTGTGGATGATGCTGTATACCCGCGTTGTTAGCCCTCTATTGGAACCTTCACAATAAAACAACCCAGTGGCATCAACACTAGAGGTCAGATCCTGTGTGATCGCTCCTACTGAGGCATTCACTATTTCCCTACTGCCAGCAGGGAGGGTAGTAGATGCGTATATGGTGGATTCTGGCACAGCTATCCGGAATGGCCTGCCGAAGCTTAGTGCGGCGTCTGCATCAGGACTGCTACGGAAACAGCTGATGCTAGCTGAGGACTGCGAAATCCCCGCCCCATAAGGTGTGGGCGTGACCATTGTTAGGCGCACTGTATCACCTTTAAACAAGCACCAAACAGGAATATGTGTTTTTAATTTCCTATAAGTATTTGCATCATTCATCCCATTGAATACCCACAATTGTTGTAGGGCAGGTAGGGGAAATATTTGGGGGAATTGTGCCTTTGATGATACAAGCATGGCATTTGACACACAGTCAGAGCATGTCTTTAAAAAAAAATATTTGGCTATACGGCCATCGCAGATTTCTCCTTTGAAAAAATATAGGTAAAATAACGAGCAATTATCATATCAGTTAAAACATAACTTGTAAACGATTCGGCATGAAATCCTATGTGATATCGATGTGAAGTTGTTAAGATATTATCTGCGCGAAATTGGCAAGATGGAAATAACTTTGAGATCATGTATCTTGTTTTTGATGCGTTAAACGGCCGGGGGAAGTAAAACATCACGAATGGACTTCGTTGTCTATTAACAAAAACTTTTGAACGACTTAAAAGTCAACGTACATCTTGTATTTAAAAACCGAGACCTTTCATCTACAGTTAAAACGAGAAGGAATAATGTAAGAAATCATAAGAAAAGCGAGATTTATACTACACCGATTGTAACTTGCCTGACACGTAGGAAGAGCAGGGCAATGTGAGCAGTGATATGACAGCAAACTCGACCGTCGCAAGCGCACCGTGAACCAGGACCTTAAGGGTCATTCTGTCCAAAATCTCCGTCCTCTGGACTATATTACTGGACACTGCTTTTTTATCCAAAATATGTTTTATGGAATCTTTTTTTGGCGTTTTCTGTCACAGAATGAAAATAAGTCAGTGCCTGAAAGATTCATATATACGAAATGATGCAACCATAGCGGCTAATAAGGTAACTTCCTCTTAGCCAACGGTCTTAACTCGAAGGGCAAGGTAAAAAAAAGGGGGGGGGGAGGAGTGACAACCTGAAAATAGCAAATCGTGTAATGGATAGACGTGATGACTGTGCAAGTTTCTTTGTCATCCTGCACGTAGCCAGTACCTACCGATGCGTGACTCTCTCGTACTGCCTAGACTGGTGTCGTGAGTGTAACTTTTAGGTCCTAATTACAACCACTAATGCTGACGGGTACCGGACCTACCATTCTACACTTCTTTCGGCCTTGGATATACAATAGCGCTCTGACAAAAGGAACCGGATATTGAACCTGAATGCGTTCAAATTCAGCACCAGCATGACCAGGCCAAAACTAAACATGTAGTTGGGTAATATTCCACTGGCACGCCAGTCAGATCAGTGTGGCTTGATGTCAAACGTGTAGGTCAAAAAAAAAGTATGAACAAAGGTAGAATACAAAATGTATACATGATAATGCAATAATTATACCATCAATAATTATACCATCGTGGGGCGTTGTTAAAAACCGACAATTATGCACACTAACGGACAATGTTTGGTGCTTTAATTTAGGGCGATACATTTAACAAAAAAAGCACCCATAACGGTTGCCTTGGTGAAGGCGTTCGTCATTATTCGCCCGTAGGCGGTTAACAATCGGCGGCATATCGTCGGCGGCATATCCTCGCTATTCAGTGCACTAAAAATACAGCGCATTTAGATGAACATTACATTTGTATTATGAGCAGAGCCCCTACTGTCATGTGTTGTTCAGCCCCCCTCCCCCCATTCAGCCCGCTTTTGAAATTTCCACCGGTGGACAATAAATTGGTATTTTTTGGTCATTCCTAAAAACGTCCAAGGGCACAAACGTAACAGAATTCAACTCAGTTACAAAATGTCACTGACAAGTTGCAAGGTTACTCAATGGGATACACTTCCGCCAAATTTAGTACATTTTGGATATCGCATGCACTGTTTGTTACGGATGTGTGGTAGTTGGCTCATATATATTTGCCTCGAGCTTTCTGAAAACAGGACTATGCTTCCAGACCAGTCTTGATCGAGATACAAGTTCTAAAGGTCAGTTGGTAAGATTGATAACCAATCTAAGTTGCGAGTAACAGTCAGTCAGTGGGATAGGTAACCAGTGCGAGTCAGTGGGATAAGTAACCAGTGCGAGTCACAAGTGACAGTCAGTCAGTGGGATAAGTAACCAGTGCGAATCACAAGTGACAGTCAGTCAGTGGGATAGGTGACCAGTGCGAGTCTCAAGTGACAGTCAGTCAGTGGGATAAGTAACCAGTGCCAGTCACAAGTGACAGTAAGTCAGTGGGATAAGTAACCAGTGCGAGTCACAAAGTGACGGGGAGTCAGTGGGATAGGTAACTAGTGCGATTCACAAGTGACAGTCAGTCAGTGGGATAGGTAACCAGTGCGAGTCACAAGTGACGGGGAGTCAGTGGGATAGGTAACCAGTGCGAGTCACAAGTGACGGGGAGTCAGTGGGATAGGTAACCAGTGCGAGTCACAAGTGACGGGGAGTCAGTGGGATAGGTAACCAGTGTGAGTCACAAGTGACAGTCAGTCAGTGGGATAAGTAACCAGTGCGAGTCACAAGCGACAGTCAATCAGTGAGATAGGTAACCAGTCTAAGTCATAAGTGACCATCAGTCAGACAGGCACAAATTATACAGGCTGGCCAGGCCTTCTGGGCTAGTCCACTGACCCGGATGCGATGTTGAAACAGGCACAGGATTATATTCTAATCGACACCCAGTCACGGACATTCATGGCGAGTGATATATTTTTGCAATGTGTTCAGGTTCAGGCTGACAGCTCAATTATAAAGGTAGGCTATACATGCTATTCTGTATTCCGTACAAGTAGGAGATTGCTTCTGTACGCATGCATTCTATAAGTAAGAGATTCATTCCTCAAATGACACGAAGCTAGTGATCTTATCGTCTGTTAATGTGGACAACGTGTCTGACGAAACCGCTAGAAAGCGAGAGGACATAAAGTGGTCTATATTCATTAAATTAATATGGCAATCCGAGGTCAGTACGAGGTCGCGTGTGGAAACGGTTGAATGATTCCATGGCCTACGTGAATGTATGTGTTTCGCGGTCGTAGTCAATCACACGTACAAATTCAAGTACATCTGGGTTGTATCTGTGTTGTCTTAGTTACCGTAGTATGCAGTGAGCGTTTGAAGGTGAAGTATAAACGTACGTAGGCATCCGCGTTGTGACCAACCCACACAGAGTCAGAGAGCATAGTTTACAGCGCTTCAACAACCTGTCGTACTACAAGGTATAGGCCTATTTAACAAAGTTCAGCATAATATATGGCATTCGTTATTTATCGACGACACGTTTTGTCACCCTGGTTTAGGTTATTTTGATGCATTTATGTTGTAAGTACATGTATGTGCTTTTTTAAAACCTTGTGAAACCAAACTGCTTTGGGGGTTTGTGGGCCCGATCGAGACGAGAGGAACCCGCGTTTGAAACTCACCGTTCAGGACATCATATGCTGGGGCCGTCGTGACGTCGTCTGAATACTCTTATAATTGACAGTCAGCAGAAAGACGACAAATTCGTCTCGAAATTATTGCTGACTTCACTCATGCATATCTTGAAACCTCAAATGTATAGTTTGCTTTCAACGCAGCTTCTGAAAGGTTCTGCAGTGAATGATGGTGATGGCCTCTTTGGCGTTACTGGCAATCGCCACTGCGTGTCTGATTCTACAGATGCAAACTACATTAACCAATGCAGGTAAGGAACACCCATACAAACCTATTCGTTATAAGCAGACAAACACAAGCTACAAGCTAACACAGAAAGGTTTTAGTGTGTGCACACCTCGGCCACAAAGTTATCCATTAATCTTATATTCCGGGTACCGAAATATATGACACTGGGCTGATCCATCGTGCATGTATCTTATATTCAAATCAGGCGCGACGTCACGAAAATTGTCATGAATTGACACGTCTCGTCACTGCTGATGACAAATTTAAAAAAACCTCTACCTCAAATTTTAATAGTTGGTTAATATAATGCTGACGTCATACAAAACATACCACGAATGATTACAGTTGGTTTGCTCTAAGAAAGGAACCTCAGTAATATATATTAATTCTGACCACTCACTCACCGAGTGTATTCTCCGAGCCAAAGGCAAAGTCGTTCTATCGTTATACTTGATAAGGTAATGGGCTTTATTCACGTGTCGGCCAAATTAAATTGAAAGCAAGGCGAGTTCTTCATTGTTGGAACTTGCATAGAAATCAAATCAATGACATAGGCCCAAAAGTTAACTTAGTGCAAGACTGAGTGTGCTCTGATGAATAATTACAAATATGTGATTAATAATCATACCCTAATTCTTAAAGCCACATTTTAATAAAACATTGAAACTGAGGCTTGGAACGCATAAATACAATGTAGTCGGGCAGCCTCCATTTCGATACACTTTATGATGTTCTCGACCTTGTGCAGGGATTCTCCTGATAACTTATTTATTTCCTTTAAAGCCATTTCTCCCTGTGGAAACTTACTTAAGTTTCCACAGGGAGAAATGGCTTTAAAGGAAATAAATAGGTTAGCCTCCATTTCAACAGTCGATTATTTATAAAATACATCCAGGGAATCCGATCAAAATGGCTTCTTAATCCCGTGAATAAGGCGTATGGATGCTGAAGGTTGTGTTTACTCTTATAATTCAGCTTTTTAACTAATATACAAATACGACAAATTTCAGCCGATGTGTACTCATTTGAGAAAGCCGTCTACACCGTAGCTGAAGATGCTGGTCCGGCAACGGTCTACGTAAAACGGACTGGACCACACGACGCTGCGAGTTCAACTGTCGGTGAGCACTTTGTAAAACAATGTCACTGTCTCACATATTATGGGGGGGGGGGATGCTACTATCCGGTTCGTAAGTGACTGAGTTATACACGCGCACGCACCACTGATTACTAGCTCCCATTGGCTAAACACGTCACTTTGTACTTCTTTCGATTCCAGTGGTTCCAAGGCTACTCCGTGTGCAGTGGGCGTGGTTTAAGTTGAAATAACGTCACACTTACGAACCAGATACACTACCATATGCACATAAACCGTGCCTTATTGAATGTATTAGAAATCCACCTGTATGGGTGTTACATGAAAATTGTTTCTCTGTTTTTGGTTGCAGATGTTTCGAGTTCTGACGGCACAGCTGTGATCGGAAGAGACTATGTAGCTGTATCAACCACTCTAAACTTCCAAATGACAAACAACAGAGTCACCGTTGATGTTCAAGTCATAGATAACGTCATGGCCAGTAACGGATCTGGGATACATTGCTTCACCTTGACCTTGACGAATCCAAATCCCAGTGGCACCCTCGGGACAAATGCTCAAATCTGCATCACCGACAATGACAGTAAGAAATTCAACAATTGGTTTGTTTTACTCACTCCTTTGTAGAGTTGCGCCATTTAAATTATTCCTATAGGAGGATACTTCAGTTCGATGTTTGAAATAATTAATGGGAACGACAACTGGTGTAAGATCGACTATCGCAGTCGTTTAATAAGGGAATAAATGTGTGCTTGACCGGTTTTGAACACTATATTTAAGACCGGTTTAATTGAAGTCTGGACGTGTTTAATACCGGCCAACCACACATTTTTTCCCATTCATCATTACCTTTTTTTCGGTGAAACAGTCAGAACATGTCAAAAATTATAATTTTCCGACGATTTTGTTCAACAAGTTTACTTCTGATTAACAAAACCGCCCCTCTGTTACGGTGTGCCTCCCTTGTAGATCTACATAAAACGAGTAATTATATGTTAAAGATACAGCAAATGTAAACCAATGGAAACACTCCAAACACGGCAAACATGGTGTCAATTTAACACCATTTGGTATTGATATAGGACAACGCCAGTAAACTTTAGCCTCATTTTAAATAACTGTCTAGTTCTTCGAGTGGAACTGAAATCTACCAAAGACGAAGCCATGGCGAAACAATGGTTTGGATGATCCAATATATTTCGGGGTGTTAGTTTGTCTGTGGTTATTTCTTTGCTTTCCGTAGACATATTTACAGGAACGTGCCCACCTCAAGAAGCTGTGATAGAGTCAAACGGAGAAGCAGTTATTGAGGCCAATGTCACCAGCGATAAAGCTACTGCCGTCATCAGCTGGGCCGAGTTCTCTACATTTCAACCGGCGCTGGAAACGTCGTACAGGTGCTTCCCTGCAGGACAGCCGCCTAGCAGTGAATGTAGGAATGGAGGCGCCTTCCCCATCACCTATACGTTGAATGCTTCCGATCAATACAACAGAAGGATTAAGGTGCAGTACACAGTTGCTACTCAACTGACCCCGACACGGGTGGAACACAACTGTGAATTCTACGTGCGCGTTCTTGGTAAGTGTACCTTTTCTGATTGGTGGTAACGCGAAAGAGGGAATTTTGTAAAACACAGATGGAATTGCGCAAGAGGGAAACCCTAAATACCATTATTAAGTCGGTTATAAGCCTTCTATCATACAACAAATTTAAAGTACATTGAAGTGCATGAGATATGATTGAATGTACCGGTGAATTATAAACATGCGTGTGCTTCATTTGCATTCACATTAATTTAAAAACACAGCAGCAGTTGTTAATTTTGTTTTAATGTTTCTGAACTTTTTGATGAAAAAAAAACTCCGTCTTGTCATATAAGGCCAAAACAGTTCTGCTTCCGGTTTCCCTACATACCCTATTCTGACAGCCCCTAGCCTAATTAGTTTATGGTAAAAAAATGAGAAAAAAAACACCCCAAACTATCAATTTCTACCTTTTACCCTTGACTACACACAGACGCCTCCATATGATCGTACCCACAAAAAAAAATCCCTACCAACCTACCCTATTTTGGAATGCCATGTAATCGGAAGCAGAACTATTTTTTGGCCCAAGGTAACACCCCCCCCCCCCCCATATTATGTCATACGGTGTGCATGCCGACTTGTCTTTGATAAACTTTCTATAATCGATTTAGGTCAAAAGGTAGAGTCTTGTGTAAAAAAAAAAGGAAAAAGACTGACAATTACATTTCGAAGCAAATCACATTGAGAGGATAAACACCAAGCCCTTCCGGGCATACGACCATCTTAGCAGTACAAAATATGTTGGGTGGACCCGAAGGGCAAAGTAACGATCAAAATGTCCCATCCTGGAGTGACAAATTTCAGCTTTTTATTTCAGACAACAACGCTCTGCAGTAACCACTAACCAGAAGTGAATCCCCTAATTGTTGGATATTTCCAATAAATCCCAAAACCCTTTAAGACGCTCATTTGATTTAGACAGCAACATTATAAAAAAACAATTGCTCTTCTATCCAACAGATTCGATACCACCAATAATTACCTGTCCAGCTGACCTGAATGTCACCGCTAAGGGCCTGAACGGCACCGCTGTCTGGACGGAGCCAGCCGGCACCGACAATTCGGGAGTGGTCACAACCAATACCTATTCGCCGCCTCTGGTTCTGAGCATCGGAAGCCATCTCTTCACCTACACTGCCGAAGACAGTTCTGGAAATGCGGCATCGTGCATTTTTAATATTACCGTTACCCCAGGTGAGTGTCTGCAGATCTATTTCGAAATTACTCGTCTTTTTCACGATGAGAAAATATGTAGTACATGTACTATCTTACCAAGCGATGGCTGAAACCTGTTCAATTTGGGCGACTCACATTGCAGTGCGCGCCACCAAGAGTTTGCTTGGAGAGTCAATTTTCCAAGGTGACTGTCGACAAAACATGGCACAAAACGGAATACGTATCAGTAGACAAATTAAGCTATATAGATTGGGGCATAGCATTCTGTTGCCTAACAAAAAACACCATATTGATAAAAAGAAAAGAAAAGGGCAAACAAATACTCGAATCATACCCGGCGTACGAAACTACTGACCGGAAAAACTAACAATTTCAATTGTCCCGAGCTGCAAATTTGTCGACCATCTCCCACAAATGCACTGGGAAAAATGCGCTCTCCGTGGCAAACTTTTCGTGGCTCACTGCATCGTGAAACAGCCGAATTGGAACACTTATTGCTAAGTGTGAGGTCGATAGTTGGTCAACCTTTGATATCGATAAGAAAACTTTCTTAAGGCAGATCAGGAAGACAAACAGGTATGAGAGGCATATATTTTGTGAAGAACGTCTATTTTAGTTTGTGGACAATATCGTGGTTTAGGGGATAGTTTCGTCAATTAAAAGGTTTGATGTTTTCGCTTGATTTATATTTCTGGTATTGGAAAATGTAGCCTTTCTCCATTCGTCCAGTATCTAACATAAAATGTAGAACATCAACTTGTTATCGTGTCCAAAATAGCAAGACACGCACAACGAATCATCTGTCATGCATCATGGGCTCGAATTTCAAAGTGAACTATTTTATTTGTGTATAAATACAGATGACGTACCACCGATGATAACCTGTCCTGCAACTGCAACCGGCGTGACGGATCCAGGTTTATCAACAGGCAAGATAAAGTTTCCCATCGCCACTGTCTCAGACAACTCTGGGTTACCCATTGTGCCTGTGGCCAACGCAACGTCCATGGTGACTCGCTTCCCTGTCGGTGAAACTGTCGTGGAGTTTGTAGCGACAGACGCCAGCGGCAACAGCGCCACTTGCACTTTCATCGTCAAAGTCGACGTCAGAAAGAACGCAGGTAAAATGCGTTTTGATTCTTGTGGATTACGATAAAATGCATAATGCAATTTTTTATATCAATAGTTGCAACCGATCAATTGTTTTCATTTACGAGTGTTGCGACCGGCTTTAAAAGGACCGTGAAAAAAATTCCACAGTTTTGACATAAATATAACGCAAAAACCCACCTATTTATTTTAGACATCCATGCTATTTCCCTACACCGAATGACGGTGTTGGTGGGTAGTACGTTAGACCCCCACTGTACAGATAACACCTAAAGTGGAGCTAAGTTTAACGTTTGTGCATTAGTTTTGTTCCTTGACTGTCTTTCAAGTACATAATTAACGATCACACATTGATTAATTAATGCAAATAAAAAATCTAACATTTGTGTGAGTGTGTTCATGCTCAAGAAGCCATAGCAATGAAGTTTCTGCTAAAGACGACTGGACATCCTACCTTTGATAACGAAGTAGACTAGCCCTAAACCCAAAACCCGGAAACACCTTTCGAAGTTGGCAATAAAATGACCGACGATCAAGTGAGCGCAAAGTGCATTTCCACGATTCCACGAAATTACTTTACAGCTTGAAATGAAGTTTTTTCAGTTGCCAATCTTGTTCTTATCCTGTTTTATTCAAGTGCGTCTTGTTTTAATGTTTTAACGATCGTGTTTTTTTGTTTAGGTGGGAGCAGCGATCGAGCAGTAATAATTGCCATTGTCTGTGTGATAGTCGCTGTTCTGATTGTTGTTGTCTGTGCCGTCATACTATACATGAAGCGTCGCCGACGTCATGCAAAGTACTCGCAGGCAAGCGATGGAAATCGGGAGATGGTGAGTCGTAGTATAGACCAATGCCAGCTTGTTATATCACTGTACACTCGGGGAGGCCTGTTACAACTGATGATGTATCCAACGGATAACGTAACACCATCACCCGGATTTTTTCTAGAGGGGCAAAACTCTTGCCGTAAGCGTTAAACAATTCGCCGGTTGCGGCAAAATCGAAGAAGGGAGGGGGACGTGACATAAACATATTCACTTCGAATCTCTCCTATTCTTTTCCCGTTTTTGGCTTTCTGGCGGAGGGGGAGGGGCACCCCTTGCCCTATCCTAGTGACGCCCATACTAACTAATAAAAATAACACTGAAGAACAAGGAATTTAAATATATTAAGCGTTGATTTGTTTCGAAAAAAATCTCGTTTTTTAACATGTACAGCTCCTAAATTTAAAACAGATTTTAAAACACTATTTTGTTTTTATTAAAGTTGCCCAACTGCAAGGCTCAATGCCATTTAAGGTACGGAGCTACCGAAAAAAGGACAAGATCGTGTTCAGTGAAAACCATTTAGTCAAAGATGAGGTGTTCAGCAATACAATATGGTGGAGCAGGCGGCAGCTCAGTAATACCAAGAAGCTTATTGCAGCTTTCTGTGATAAGATGTAAGAATTGGTTTAGTGCGGTTATTATGGTTCTTACACTCAAGCATATTGTTTAACGCTTTTTACAGGCTGAAATCGATTAAGTCACCGTCATCAAGTTTGAGACAACGAGAATTCTTCGAGCTGTTTGCAGAGTAGCAGAAGATCTGAAAGGTCAGCTGCAGTACGGATGATGCTTGTAACAGCTTTGTCAGTTTAACCGAGGTTGTGGGTCTTGCGAGGTATCCTTGTCGGTAGTAATTATGCTCTTTGCTTGTAGTATAAAGCAGAAGATTTTCAACTGTTCCATTTCAGCAATTTTGTAAATGCTGGTACCTATACAACTACTTCAGGTATTAATATCCATATTTGGTTTATTACATTGTTATTTTATAAGAGATGTGCTGTAACCAGTATGGCCTTGCATGAGATCACTGTATACATCGACCGAAGCGTTTAAGTAGTGACATACGGTGACAGTTACATATGGTTTCGCGCACATAGCTCGAGCAATGGACTGGATAGCACCTGTCACATTGTTTCTGCCATTATACTGGATCGCTTCTGAGTGTACTGTGATCTCATATGCATATTGGCCCATCTACCAGCTACCCTTTGTAGTTTCAACAGAAACACATGGCATTTAGTTTTGGATAATTGGACAATGAAAATCCACTCCTATTGTAATATTTTACCAATAAGTAAAATTTCTGTAAAGATTCACATGCACATTATTTGTGCACGAAATAAAGTGATTTGCGTTTAATTGGTAGATTTAGGCATGGTCAAACACAATGTACGATTTAAGGTATTTTTTGGGAATCTGTGCTTCTTTAAAAACTTCTTGTTACAAATACGTCTTGTTACATTTGGGTCCAAACATTTTCCGCTCCAAATTTAATATGAAAATCAAGAAGAGGGTGCAAATGCATGAAGTTAATTGCGTTTAATCGGTAGATTTAGGCAAGGTCAAACACATGTACAATTTTAAGGTACATTTTTGGGGGAATGTGGGCTTCTTGAAATAGTTCTTGTTTAAAATCTTTCTCGGTATTATTGTTTTAAAAAGAATATTGACGACACGAAGCAGAACTGAATGCAGTTACATTTCATGTCAGAAAGTATCGTTTCTTTTCATCTTATATGCTTTAATGTACATGTTTAAATCAATCTGTAGCAGTATATTTAGGGCCTACAGAAAAAAATGGTGGTTTGCTAAAATTAAATCATTTAGAGAGTATTTTACAGGTGGAAGGGGGTAGTACAGTTGTCTTAGTGTTCAGATTAGCTTAATGTTCAAGTTTTCATGTTTTCGATGTCCCTTTTTTAGACTGAAGCTAAACCTTTTGACAATCTGGCTTATTTCAAGGTGGGTGCAAACCTATTGCTGTGGTTTATCATTATTCTAACTGCTGCTTATTAAAGTTTAAAATCTATTAAATACAATTGCAACTGGAAACGGTAATAAAATTGCATTATAATGGATGCCCTTTTAATTGTCGCAATAAAATTGGTACCAAACCTTTAGATAGATAAACTAATAATATAAGCAATTCGATACCAAATTATGAGAATACTGATTTATTACCAAATTGGCAGGCTCTGTTGATATTCATCGCGGTTTTAAATGAAAGTGGCACAGTTTGTATTATAACGATGGACATCGGCGTTATTGCATATTGTGAAAACTGGCCCTGCTATAATCAGTCGTAATGTTTCCAGTCCTGATTCTGTGTTTGATGCTGGTTAGTGGCGTAGAGGGTACATGGGGCACCAAGAACCGCGACCCTTCAGACGGAGTTATGGTAAATTTTTCATTCTCAAGTTAGTATTGTGTGTATCTTTAGTCGTGCTATAATTCAAAGAAGACACCAAAGATAAAGCCACCCAAAACGGTAACAATATAAATTTGAGACGTTCCACAAAACCGACCAAAGGAAAACAAAAAACCCAGGTTGACCGCATTGACAGAAAAAAATTTCACCATCACTCTGTCAATTAAGTTACATGTAAACTGTGGTAGTCGTGCAAAGAGATTTGTCACTTAATTGTGTTTACAACTTGATTTGTTTGTTTGGTTAATCTATATGCCAAGCGATCCATCTTTTATAGTCCTCAAACAGATTATATGATGAGTCAAGTGCGGATCCAGAACACATTTTATTTATTTTTTTTGGCGGGGGGCTTAGAAAATGTTGGTCCCCAAAAACGTGGGTCCACAAAAATGACGGCGTGGGGTTGGTGGAAAAAAAATTGGATGTAGATGCTCTGTGGTGCAATCTGAGGCAATTTCTGACCACATTGACCAAATCTTTTTGAAGAAAAGATGGTCGTGTACGCAGTGCCTCCCTTTATTGCGACGTCACTTTAAAAAAAAGGAAAAAATTTGGTTCGTTTTCTTTTGGGGGGGGGGGGCGTGGCCCCCGTTGGCCCTCCCCTCTGGATCCATCCTCGGGATTAGTTTGTAAAATTTCGAATGCTCTTTTTTCCGCCACCACTCAGGGATTCAGTTATATCAATTTGACATGCAACGACGCTGGAGACGTGTGTCAGAACTGCTTAGTTACGCACCTCCTTGGACAATTGTTCTTAGCAGGTATGTACCATTGAAATAATATATTAAATAAACTTGTCATATTATGACAAAGGTATCAGCACCCTGCTGCAACACGAGTCACTAAGATCGAGTTGTTTGATAGGAAAACAGAAAGAACCAGCCAATCGATCCCACAAACTCGGTCGTCGAGTTGTAAGACGTCTGCACTAGAAAGCAGGAGGTCGAGGATTCGAGTCCTCCCTGAGTGATTTTTTTCCAACATTCACTCGGGCGGTAACACACTGAGTTTACAGTGTTTATACGACAGTAAATGGCGAAAATGACGAAAACAAAAGTATTGTATCAACTACTTCTGTTATTTTTTAGTTCTAGTAAGGTAATGTTCAGTAATTTTTTTTTTTGCAGTTCAAGAATATACGAAGGAACCATACAAATTCGAAGTCAGAGAAAGTGCAGGGAGGGAAGGCTGGGACTTTTTCTTTTCGCAGGGTAGGTATACCTAGTCCCCCGTCCCCGTGTCCCGTAAACATGTCCTAAGACTTTTCTCCGCATCATCTACTTTTCATTCCCAAAGAGGGATTCTTGTATTTGTGAAGACTTCACCTTCCCTATGAAACTGATACACCTTGGTGGCCGTGTGGGTTTGTAAAATTACTCATGCATACTTTCTTTCTTTTGTTCCTCTTCCCTTTCCCCTTGTTTGTATTTTTTCGCAACATCTCTCATTGGTTTTGTACACGTTTTCTAAGCGAGGTCGTTCTCGATTTGGTTCCTGTCCGAGTCGATTCACCGTGATATTGTATGCGTGTGTCCTCGATTTACACCATAAAAACAAACGCCAGCAGTCTGGGCCTGTGCCACAATGCCCCTCACCCGACATTCAGTGGCCGACAAACGTTTGATGGTTTTTAATTCTTCCTTTCTTTTATATTATTTTGTTTGATTTATCGAATTTCCAGACGAACCAGAAGCCAAGTACAGGTGGTGCGACTCCTTTAATTCCCAGCCTGGCAGGGAATTCGACAAGCCATGGGGATACACATACTGCGTCGAAAACATCTTTTCTGGTATTGCGGTACCTGCCGGCTGCGCGAAGCCTCTGACAGTACTGACGTATGACATCCACTATAGCGATGAAGAACTGCACGGCGAGCAAGTGCTCTTTTGCCTGCCCTAGTTTTGAATCTTTAGCAACGTTACACCCCAACAAAGTAGCAACTGCCAAACTAGGGCAGTCCGTATGGGCCCTGTGCACGAGTCGGCCATATTGACTTGAAAGTGAGCTTAAGTCTTAATGTTTGGAACTTGCGAAGAGAAATGAAAGCAAGTTCATTACTAATTAATTATACTCTGCTTCAATGAATAATTTAAAATTTCAATTAAACATTTCCTAAAGTTTAAAGCCAGACAAAAATGACAGTAAAATAAGGTTACATTATGCCTACATAAATGGTCTGGCGCCATCTCATTCAACAATTAACAATTAATGAAATGCATTCAGGGAACTCGACAAAAATGGCCAACTCATGTATAAGGCCCACACTACAGTTTGGGTATGCCGAACTGAGGCAACACAGTTGAGCATGATTAACAATAGTTTTCACTTTACAAACTCTGACCATTATTTTTCATGCGCAGCCATTTTTTGCATAAATAACAATCCTAGTTGGCAACAACCCCCCCCCCAAAAAAAAAAACCCCTGCAAATCTAGTTAATTAAGGGAATGTGTTTTGTCTCTGTTATTTTGGTTTTGGCGTTTGAAAACTCAGCTCTTTTATAGGGGTATGAAATGTTTGTAAACTAGTATTTCGTTTTGCAATGATTGCCAACCATATTTATACTAGCCACTGGTTTGAAAAAAAAAAAAGAACAGCCGTGACCAAGCAAAGGAAGGGTCTACGGCACGCCCACTGCAGTGGCGCACCCAGGATTTGGGGGTTTTTTTTGGGGGGGGGGGGCTCCAAAAACTTTTCTTACAAATTTGTTGAAAGTTGAATTTTTTTCAAACAAAAATAAGCCAAAATTTTTGGCTGCAGAAAAAAATTGTGTTTTTTTTTTAGGGGCGGCCTATTTTGACGTTGGTGGCGCCACTTACGCCCCTATTGTACTACTCAACTCTAGTTTTGTTTATTGAAATGAGATTATCATGATATTATCTAACTGAACAAATTAATTGAGCCATCTTTGGCAAGACGTATTTGACGTATATTATATCTGCACTATATGCAGAAAACCATTTTTTGTACTTATAACGTGAGAAACAAATTATGGGCAATGTGCATCTTACATGTAGATCGCTGGTCCTCGTGAAATAATCTTACAAAATTGTACTGCAATCGGCAACCTGTGTTTTAGGCACCTTTTTTTTTTTTTTTTTTGGAGGCACGTGCATACCCCGTACTCGCGTCCATTCGCTCGTACCCCCTGCCCTGCAAACAGGACGCTGGGATACTCTGATGAATTTACGCTCTGATTGGTTGGATTTTGCGTGACCTGTGACCTGCGCGTCATCACGGTCATGACTCTGCAAGGTTTGAAACGGCCGTTAAGACTGGTTCGTTATTCTTTTATTCAAGTTTCGAGATGTTTTTTTTATTCGTTGAAAAGCGTAATAATGTAGGAAATTCTGTAAAACTTATCTGTGTTGTAAATTTACAATTCCCGTCACTTGCTCAGGCTCCGTTTCGAATCACGAACGGTCGGATTGCATTATGCGACGCTCAAAATTTTGTCCACATGGTCCGCAATGAAGCAGAAATCACATCCGGTATGGAACGTGTGGATTTCTATGGGAAGTTTTTGGATAGCATTTGCGCACATTGTCTAACTGCGGTCTTGAACAGCTGCACCCAGATGCTTTATACATAGGCCATAGGCCACTTCCTTCACAAGATTCTATAAAGCTCATCAGAGTATCCCAGCGTCCTGTTTGCAGGGCGGGGGCGGGGGGGGGGGGGGTACGAGCGAATCGCGTCCATTGGTAATGTTCCATATTGTGGTCAAGCAGGGCGCGCACACACACACACCAAACGTCCGTATGATATCATGGTTTTAGTGTTGCAGGACTTGCAGTCTACAGATACAGGGCACAATATTTTTTGGGGGCCCCAAATTTTACATTGTTCCCGAAAAATTGGGTCTAAACGTTTTCCGCCCCAAATTTAACATGAAAAGCAAGAGGAGGGGTGCACATGCATAAAGTTAATTGGGTTTAATCGGTAGATTTAGGCATGGTCAAATACATGTACGATTTAAGGCATGTTTAAGGAAATGTGGGCTTCTTGAAATACTTCTTGTTTAAAATCTTTCTCGGTATTATTGTATCTTAAAAGATGAATGATATTGATGACACAAAACAGAACTGAACGCAGTTCAATTTCATGTCAAAAAGTAACTGTTTATTTTCATACATGTTTAAATCAAACTGTAGCAGTAGGCCTATATTAACAGAAATAAAATGGTGGTTTGCTAACATTTACAGCATAATTTTCGTTTAACAAGTACTTTTTGAATGGAAATCATTTAGAGAGCATTGAACAGGTGGAATAGTGTAATACAATTGTCTAAGTGTTCAGATTTGATTATGTTTTCGAGGTCCCTTGTGTTAGACTGCAGCTAAACCTTTTGACAATTTGGCTTATTGCAAGGTAGGTACAAACCTATTGCTGTGGTTTATCGAAATTCTATGGAACTGCCACTAATTAAAGTATTGAATCTATAAATACAATTGCAACCGGGAACGGTTATAAAATTGCATTACAATGGATGCCCTTTCAATTGTCGCAATAAAATTGGTACAAACCTTTAGATAGATAAACTAATAATATAAGCAATTCGATACCAAATTATGAGAATACTGATTTATTACCAAATTGGCAGGCTCTATTGATATTCATCGCGGTTTAAATGAAAGTGGCACCATTTGTATTATAACGATGGACATCGGCGTTATTGCACATTGTGAAAACTGGCCCTGCTATAATCAGTCGTCATAATGTTTCCAGTCCTGATTCTGTGTTTGATGCTGGTCAGCGGCGTAGAGGGTACATGGGGCACCAAGAACCGCGACCCTTCAGACGGAGTTATGGTAAATATCCCATTCTCAAGTTAGTTCTGTGTTTATCTTTAGTCGTGCTATAACTGAAAGAAGACACCAAAGATAAAGCCACCTCGACAAAACGGTAACAGTATGAATTTGAGACGTTCCACAAAACCGACCAAAAGAAAACGAAAAGCCCAGGTTGACCGCATTGACAGAACAAAATTTCACCATCACTCTGTCAATTAAGATACATGTAAACTGTGGTAGTCGTGCAAAGAGTTTTGTCATTTAATTTTGTTAACAACTGGATTTGTTTGATTGGTTAATCTATATGGCAAGCGATCCATCTTGTATGTGTCCTCAAACAGATTATGATGAGTCAAGTGCGGATCCAGAACACATTTAATTTTTTTCTGGTGGGGGGAGGGGGGCTTAGAAAATGTTGGTCCCCCAAAATGTTGGGTCCCAAAAATGACGGCTTGGGGTTGGTGGAAAAAAATTGGATCTAGATGCTCTGTGGTGCGATCTGAAGCAGTTTCTGACCACTTTAACCAAATCTTTTTGAAGAAAAGATGGTTGTGTACGCAGTGCCTACCTGCGACGTCACTTAATTAAATTGGGTTCGTTTTCTTTCTTTTTTCGGAGGGGGGGGCGTGGCCCCCGTTGGCCCTCCCCTCTGGATCCGCCCTCGTGCACTCAGTGAAGCTACTTTCCTATGCTAACTGGTCGATGGTCTTTGCTTTTTTTTAGATTGGTTTAAATTATTTTTTTGTTCCAGGGACCTGCCGGCCCTGCTGGACCAGCTGGTCCATCTAGAGTGATCGTAGAACTTGTGAGTACCTTGCTGTGTTTGTCTTTATAGGCTGTTTTTATTAGTTTCTTGGAATTATTGAAAAACACAGCTAACATCCATATACTTTAGCTCCTGCTTTTGTTTGATACAACAAATACTTCTAACTGACTTTGTGAAGGGCTACTTTTCACAGTATGTTTTCCGGCCAGGATCTTTTTTTTTTTTTTTTTTTTTTAAACGTCATCTTTAATGAGGGTAAACTCCAATCAGTGCAAGGCACTGCTTTCCATGGAGGCCCTCAAGTTTATAATGAGAACTATAAGACCCATTATGTAACACCTTTATAAGGATTTACAAGGTGCTGCGGCGCATATTGCAGCCACTGCCAGAAACACCGGGGCAAACCCCTTCTCTTATCAATAAGTGTTACTGCGTTCGTTAACGTGCATTACACAACACACGGGACCTACGGCTTTACATCCCATCCAAAGGACGAAGCAATAATGGTAAAGTGCCTTGCTCAAGAGCACAAGCACCATGTTCACACGGTCAGGAATCGAACCCATGTACCACGGCATACGAAACGAACACCGTAACCATTGGACCACAGCACCCCAATAAAATCTCATGAAATACTTGTGAGAGAACTTAAAGTATATATTTACATGTTTCATATTAATCAGGGTTGAAGCTGAATTTTAAGCTTAATTACCAGAATGCTGATTTCCATTTTCGAAAAAAAATGAAGAAAAAGATGCGCATAACTTCTTTCCCCTTTATTTTTCTCAATACCTCAATTGCATGTCTGTACCTCATATTTCTTCATATGATCTTAACTTATCCAATTTGGTTCTTTATCTTGACGAAATTCATATCATAAGGTATTAATTTCTTGTGGTTTCTCTCTCCCCCAGGGTGTCAGGGGAGCAATGGGAGCCCCTGGACCCATTGGCCCTGCTGGCAGACCTGTAAGTATTATATCCCAGTTGCTACTTTTCTTATCGGTTACATATTTGTTTAAAGAGTGGAGCATTTAAACAAGGGGTACTTCCACGTGGGATGTGAACTTTCTTGGTTTTGCTCTATGGTCGAATTTTTCTTGTTATTTGTGTATGTTCTGTTCTGAATCTTTGTTCCATTTGTTCTTTTTGCAAAGCCAGCTCAAAGGTTTATCAGTTGTTCTTTGAGCAGTCGTGAGTTGCCTCCTCGTGACAAAAAATATTATTCAGGATGGCCACATAAATTTTTAAAAATGGCAAGCATGTATAATTATGATATTGGTTTATTCATTTTATTATCTTTTTGAAATTTTCCTGAACAGGGTAGCGACGGACCCCCAGGTAGACGTGGATCTCCTGGCGAGGACGGGTCGGTAGGACGTCAGGGAGCCCGGGGTGTTAAGGGACCACGCGGACCAACCGGATCTGATGTGAGTATCCTCCAGTATTGATATTCCTTTCCTAACATCGTGCAGTTTGCATGGACCCAAGGGCAAACCCAGTCTTCTAACTAAACCAGTGACTGACCAACTGACTGATGGACTGACTGACTCCCTCCCCTCCTGACTGACTGACTTGACTCCCCCCCTCCCCCCTTCCTGAGTCAATGACTGACTCCCCGACTGATTGACTGACTGACTCCCCGAGTCACTGACTGACTGAGTCAGTTAAAATTTTGTTTTTAGATCTTACAGTTTAGAGTTTACGGTTTAAAGTGAAATCACTTGAGATGGTGATTTTTTTTTAACGTCACACAGGGAAGAGATGGTTCTGATGGAGCCACTGGTGCCAAGGGTTCCACTGGATCTCAAGGTGACAAGGGACCTCCAGGACCTCCAGGACCTGCTGGAACCGCTGGAATGCCTGTAAGATTTACCCCCAAACTTTGACAAAAAGGAAACTATACTCCCTTGTTTTGTCTCTTAAAGTTTTCAGCACTAAATATGTGCAGCCTACAAATGTAACCACTAGTGTAAGTCATATATTGCAAGGGGATTCTAATTGAGACAATCAGAGTGTAGAGAAAGTCATGTATCTTGTAAATTTGTCTTGTCGGTCGTCGAGTTGTAAGACGTCTGCACTAGAAAGCAGGAGGTCGGGGATTCGAGTCCCACCTGAGTGATTTTTTTCCAACGTTCACTCTGGCGGTAACACACTGAGTTTACAGTGTTTATACGACGGTAAAGGGCAAAAATTAGAAAAACAAGTCTTGTATCAACTACTTCTTTTATTTTAGTTCTAGTAAGGTAATGTTCAGTAATTTTTTTGCAGTTCAAGAATATACAAAGGAACCATACAAATCCGAGGTCAGAGAAAGTGCAGGGAGGCAAGACTGGGACTTTTTCTTTTCGCAAGGTGGGTATACCTAGTCCCCCGATGAATCCCGTTTCCCGTAAACATGTCTTTAGACTTTTCTCCGCCTTTGTCGTCCACTTTTCATTCGCAAAGAGGGATTCTTGTATTTGTAAAGACTTCACCTTCCCTATTAAACTTGTACACTTTGCTATAGCTTACAGAATTCCCCGAGTATTGGGATGTTCTTAAGCTGGTGACCGTGTCAGTTTGTAAAATTACTCATGCATACATATTTAGTCAGTGAACAACGAACGGAGGATTTCTGTATAGCTAGGTCCATGTCTCACAGCCAAAAGCAAGTCAAGTTAGTAAGACATGTCTATACAGACAGTTCTCGGTCTTTCTTGACACACAATATCATGGAATCTTCTATCTCGTCAAGTGCTACAGAAACCGCTTTGCAAGCAGCATCATTCCTGTTATATCTCGATGACGTTGCAAACATTTTGTTGAAGATTCGTTACGAGTTTCGAACTAATGAACCCCCGGTTAATATGAGAAATGTGTGTGTTCGGACTATCGAACCTTCGGACTATCGGGCGCGGACCCCTATCGGCTAGGCATACGCCAGTACCTTAATGCGAATGAACCGGCACAATTTATGATGCTAGTTGCAGTCTTTCAAAATAATGTGATCGGTGAACGCGGTCCTCCAACCCCTTTTTATTATAAAGTATCCTCAAGCCCCAACCACCCCCCCCCTTCCGCACACACGAACCAGAACACACCCACGTTTGTTTATGGTGTAAATCGAGGATTTCTTTTGTTGCCCTTCCCTTTACATTTGTTTGCAACTTTTTTGCAATAGCTCTCACCGTGATGTTGCATGCGTGTGTCCTCGATTTACACCATAAAAACAAACGCCAGCAGTCTGGGCCTGTGCCACACTGCCCCTCACCCTACATTCAGTGACCAACAAACGTTTGATGGTTTCTAATTCTCCCTTTCCTTATTATTATTTTGTTTGATTTATCGAATTTCCAGACGAGCCAAGTACAGGTGGTGCGACTCCTTTAATTCCCAGCCTGGCAGGGAAAACGACAAGCCATGGGGATACACATACTGCGTCGAAAACATCTTTTCTGGTGTTACCGTACCTGCCGGCTGCGCAAAACCAATCGCAGTACTGACGTATGACATCCACTATAGCGATGAAGAACTGCATGGCGAGCAAGTGCTCTTTTGCCTGCCCTAGTTTTGAATCTTTAGCAACGTTACACCCCAACAAAGTAGCAACTGCCAAACTAGGGCAGTCCGTATGGGCCCTATGCACGTGTCGGCCATATTGACTTGAAAGTGAGCTTAAGTCTTAATGTTTGGAACTTGCGTAGAGAAATGAAAGCAAGTTAATTCCTAATTAATTCCACTCTGCTTCAATGACATTTAAAATCTTTAATTAAACATTCCCTAATGTTTAAAGCCAGAAAAAACATGTCAGCAAAATAAGGCTGCATTATGCCTACATTAAATTGTCTGGCGCCATCTCATTCAACAATTAACAATTAATGAAATGTCGAGGGAACTCGACAAAAATGGCCAACTCATGTATAAGGCCCATACTACAGTTTGGGTATACCGAACTGAGGCAACACAGTTGAGCATGATTAACAATAGTTTTCACTTTACAAACTCTGACCATTATTTTTCATGCGCAGCCATTTTTTGCATAAATAACAATCCTAGTTGGCAACAACCCCCCCCCCCAAAAAAAACCCCTGCAAATCTAGTTAATTAAAGGAATGTGTTTTGTCTCTGTTATTTTGGTTTTGGCGTTTGAAAACTCAGCTCTTTTATAGGGGTATGAAATGTTTGTAAACTAGTATTTCGTTTTGCAATGAATGCCAACCATATTTATACTAGCCACTGGTTTGAAGAAAAAAAAAGAACAGCCGTGACAAAGCAAAGGAAAGGTCTACGGCACGCCCACTGCAGTGGCGCACCCAGGATTTGGGTTTTTTTTTTGGGGGGGGGCTCCAAAAACTTTTCTTACAAATTTGTTGAAAGTTGAATTTTTGTTCAAACAAAAATTGGCCACAATTTTTGGCCGCAGAAAAAAATTGTGTTTTTGTTTAAGGGCGGCCTATTTTGACGTTGGTGGCGCCACTTACACCCTTAATGTACTACTCAAGTCCCCCCAGCCCCCCCCCCCCCCCCCCTTGGCTGCGCTACTGGCCCACTGTGTAGCTGCAGTTGGGCATACCCCAACTAGGCCTATATGTTTGGCAGTTGCTATAGTGGGGATGTAAAAGCCGTGAAAATTGGAGCGCTTGTCGTCCAGATTATAACACACATCTTGTAATTGTGTACGTTTGATAGTTTGGGTTTGTTGAAGTAGCCATAGTAGTTCGATGTATAAGAGTCCTGTAAATGCACCTTTTATCGTTCCATTTACCTACATGTTTAATCTTCTTAATTAAAACCATTTCTGACCAATTGCTATCCTTCTGACCAGTTCTATATTCATGAGTTAAGCAGTGACGTCATATAAGGTAAAAACTTGTGTTTGAGCTGCTTAAACAGCAAAAATGTCAGAATTTCAGCGTTGTTTGTTGTGGTCACTTCCTAGCTTTTGTTGCAGTGTTTCATCAATTATTAGTGATTGAGCAGCAGTGCGGAGATTTTCGTACTGAATTTGCACGGTTCTCATTTTTGTTAAAAAAATCTGAAAGAAGCTATTGAAGTTTTTTCCGTATTGTGATGCCTGGGGCTTTTTCTTTTACTCCAGTCTTGTTTATTGAAATGAGATTATCATGATTTTATCTAACTGAACAAATTAATTGAGCCATATCTGCACTATATGCAGAAAACCATTTTTTTGTAGTTATAACGTGAGAAACAATTATGGGCAATGTGCATCTTACATGTAGATCGCTGGTCCTCGTGAAATAATCTGCAACCTGTTTTTTAGGCACCTGTTTTTTTTGGGTTTTTTTTGAGGCACGCGCATACCCCGTACTCGCGTCCATTGGTAATGTTCCATAATTATTGTGGTCAAGCCTTGCGCGAGCATCATACTTACATGTAAGTGCACACACACACACACCAGACGTCCGTATGATATCATGGTTTTAGTGTTGCAGGACTTGCAGTCTATTTCAAAGCCAGATACAGGGCACAATATTTTATATTGTTCCCGAAAAATTGGGTCTAAACGTTTTCCGCCCCAAATTTAACATGAAAAGCAAGGGGAGGGGTGCACATGCATAAAGTTAATTGGGTTTAATCGGTAGATTTAGGCATGGTCAAATACATGTACGATTTAAGGCATTTTTAGGGAAATGTGGGCTTCTTGAAAAACTTCTTGTTTAAAATCTTTCTCGGTATTATTGTATTAAGATGAATGATATTGATGACACAAAACAGAACTGAACGCAGTTCAATTTCATGTCAAAAAGTAACTGTTTATTTACCTGCATGTTTAAATCAAACTGTAGCAGTATATTAACAGAAAAAAATGGTGGTTTGCTAACATTTACAGCATAATTTTCGAATGGAAATCATTTAGAGAGCATTGAACAGGTGGAATGGTGTAATACAATTGTCTTAGTGTTCAGATTTGATTAATGTTCAAGTTTTCATGTTTTCGAGGTCCCTTGTGTTAGACTGAAGCTAAACCGTTTGACAATCTGGCTTATTGCAAGGTGGGTACAAACCTATTGCTGTGGTTTATCGTAATTCTATGGAACTGCCGCTAATTAAAGTATTGAATCTATTAAATACAATTGCAACTGGGAACGGTAATAAAATTGCATTACAATGGATGCCCTTTCAATTGTCGCAATAAAAAAGGTACAAAACCTCCAGATGAATTAATCAAACCCATTTAGTAAGAGCAATCAAATACCAGACTATGCAAAATATTTATAACCGTACCAAATTGGCAGGCTCTATTGATATTCATCGCGGTTTTAAATCAAAGTGGCGCACTTGTATATAACGATAGACATTGGCGTTATTGCACATTGTCAAAGCTGGCTCTGCTACTAATCAGTCGTCATAATGTTTCCAGTCCTGATTCTGTGTTTGATGCTGGTCAGTCGCGTAGAAGGTACATGGGGCACCAAGAACCGCGACCCTTCAGATGGAGTTATGGTAAATATCCCATTCTCAAGTTAGTATTGTGTTTATCTTCAGTCGTGCTTTATCTGATAAAAGACACCAAAAATGAAGCCACCGCGATAAAACAGCAACAGATGAGGTTGAGACGTTCCACAAAAACCGACCAAAAGAAGGAAAAAAAGAAAAGAATTTTGACCACGTTGACACAACAAAATTACTGTTCACTGTGTCAATTAAGTTACTTGTAAGATAAACTGTGGTTGTCGTGAAAAGAGATTTCTTTTGGGGTTAATCTGTTGCATGACAAGAGATCCATCTTGCTCGTCCTCAAACAGATTATGTTGAATTGATGAAGTTTCAAATGTTCTTTTCCACCACCATGCAGGGATTCAGCTATATCAATATGACATGTAACGAGGCTGGAGACGTGTGTCAGAACTGCTTAGTTACGCGCCTCTTTGGACAAGTGTTCCTAGCAGGTACATATGTATACCATTACATATATATGACAAGTAGGCATCATCATGGCACCCTGATGCGAAACGAGTCCCTAAGGTGGAAGTGTAAAATTTGAAAAAAAAAGGAGAAATCGGCTTAAAACTGTTTTATTAATACCTATTTCAGTTATTTTTGTTCTAAGGTAAGGTAAGGCAAAAAAAAAGAAGAAGGTCGGTCTCTAGTCAGCGCGCGCGTCGATTTTAATCATGTGCGTCAATCTTTCTTTTTTCCAAAATGTTCCGCGGTAACTCCAACAGCGCCCTCTATTGACGCACCTCCTCATTTTTTGTTTTACCAAAGAGCACCAAGGAATGGGAAATTGCACCAAGGCAAATGATCGAAAGCACCAAGGCAAGTTATGGAGGACACCAATGTACATGAGGACACCAAAAAAAGCAGAATAGTACCCCACCTTGTCTGTACAATCCAAGCTTGAAGAAGAAGAAAAAGCAAAAAAAAAAAAAAAAAAAAAAAAGCCGCGTCGCCGCGTCAATTCCGGAACTTTGGTCTGACGAGAGACCGATTTTTTTCTTTTGCCTAATGCTGAGTATTTTTTGTTTACAGTTCAGGAATATACGAAGGAACCATACAAATTCGAGGCCAAAGTGAGTGAAGGGAGGCAAAGCAGGGACTGGTTCTTTTCGCAAGGTGGGTGTGCCTAGTCCCCTGATGAACCCCGTGTCACGTTACAAGGGCCTTACGACTTTTCTCCGCGTTCATCATCCACTTGTCATGCCCAAAGATGGATTCTTGTACAGACTTCACCTTCCTTAACTTGTACACTTTGCTTTAACTTCTGAATTACGGAATGTTCCATAGGGCCCTTATTGGCTAGGTCTACGCCAGTCCCTTCATGCGAATGAACCAACCCAATTTATGATGCTTGTTGCAGTCGTTCAATATTTTTTTTTTCAAAGTATCCTCAGCCCCCCCCCCCTTCCGCCACACACCCAGAGTGCATTGGTCTGGCGGCGCCCATGCCAAACTGCCCCTCAACATACGAAAAATTACATTCAGCGCCAACGGACAAACGGTTGGTGGTTTATAATGGTTCCTTTCTTTTACTATATATCATTTTGTTTTATTTTTCGAATTCCCAGACGAACCGGAAGAAAAGTACCGGTGGTGCGACTCCTTTGATTCCGAGGCCAGTTGGGAATACGACAAACCATGGGGATACACATACTGCATCGAAAACATCTTTTCTGGTATTGCGGTACCTGCCGGCTGCGCGAAACCTCTGGCAGTACTGACGTATGACATCCACTATAGCGATGAAGAACTGCACGGCGAGCAAGTGCTCTTTTGCCTGACCTAGTTTTGAATCTCTATCAATGTTACAACCCAGTAGTACAGTTTGGGCATGCCGAGCTGTGGCGACACAATGCTTAAGTAATGGGGGCATTCCTCCACACATAGAGCAAGTGGCCCGCATGACTGCACAGCCTTTGTGTGGTAGAGGGACTGCACAAAAGCAGCAGCTGTGGAACTACCCACTAGCCGTGTGCCACGGCATACCACAGCTGGCAACTGCATTGTAATGAGGATTAGCGGCCGCGGCCATGACCGCTTCCCGTACGCAAGGGGTTACAATGGTTTTCATTTTACAAGCTTTTAGACCATTTTTTTTCACGGGCATCCACATCCTAGTTGGCAACAACTTTGCCAAAAATTGCAAAGTCTTGTTGCTCAAGGGAAGGTGTGTGGCTTTTGTTTGTGTCGTTTGATAAATCAGCCTTCTTAATAGTTGTATGAAATGTTTGTAAACTGGTATTTCGTTTTGCAATGATTGCCAACCATACTTATACTAGCCACTGGTTTGAAAAATATAAAGAACAGCCGTGACATAGCAGAGGAAAGGTCTATTGTTGGGCAAACGTACTTTGTGGCCATAGTTGGGCATTCCATAACAATAGTTTTAGCAGTTGCTATAGTGGGGATGTCAAAACCGTGACAATTGGAGCTGTTTTCGTACACATTATATCACACACATCTTATAATTGCATCAGTTGGATAGTTTGGGTTCATTAAAGAAACCATAGTAGGGTCGATGTAAAATATGTTTTTCTAAAGGGAATCATCTAAATACACCTTTTAGCGTTCAATTTAGCTATACATTGTTAATCTTCCGAAAACCAATTCTGATGCGTTTCAGATTTCTTTTTAAAATTTTATCCTGATATTCATTAGTAAAGCAGTGACGCCATATTAGGTAAACGCTTGTGTTTCAGCTGCTTAAACAACAACATGTTGCCAGAATTTTATCGTTGTATGCTGTGGTCACTTACTTAGCTTTTGTTTCAGTGTTTCTTTGATTCTAGTATAAACATGGCCAGTCCGAGACTGACCACGACCAAACTTTTTGCAAACATACCTTCAGCGAGCTACATTGAAATAGGAAATTAAACAATTGTTGAGTGTGACATGACATCAGCAACTCCCTTAGTTTTCTGGAAACAGCATGAACATATATATAATAATACCGGAGTCTTATATAGCGCACGTATCCACCAACAATTAGGTACTCAAGGCGCTGGAATATAAATATTGAAATTGGAAAATGTAATACGTTGGAAATCCAACAGGTTTTTCTTATTATTTGCATACAATTCGGAAAAATGGATATTCGCCCAAAAGTTTGTTTATTTGCAAAATACTTTTCATGAATCTATAGCCTTGGCTCATGTAGTAGAATTTTTATAGAATCCTTAGAATGCACTTTTGTATCCAATTTAATGCCTTAATTACCCACTCACCGTTAAGTTTGGATATTTGCACCAATCATATTTGACTGTGAGTTTTTTCACGGTTTTTTTAAACGATTATGCATGTTAGCCTATACGTAGTGTTCATTTTTAAAGGAAGTTTGGTCTTCCGTTTCTTTCTTTGGCGTAATGTTATAATGTTAGCGTTCAGTCATCGTTAAAAAACATATATATCGTGGAGTTATTATTATAACACCTCACCCATAGATTCTGCGTCTTGATTGGCAGAGAGCGAGTCACATGTTACTTTCGAATTTTGCTATCTTTCTGTGCACGGCCAAAAGTACTATGCGCATAGCAACCAAAATACTATACCATTAGCAACCAAAGTACTATTTCCATGGCGCGGATTTTGTGTGAAAATGCAGGCTGGTGTGCGTGTTGCGCGTTGTGCGTAGCGCGTATTATTCCAAAGAGATCGCGCCGCAGACTTGGGTTCAAACATTTCTTGAAGGGGTAGCTTTTAAGAGAGAAATACATTTTCCATCAATTTTGTATTGAAATTGAAGTTTATTTCAACTGTGTTCAGATTAAAATAATTTAAAATATTAAAATCAAGCAGAATCTGTGGGTGAAGAGTTAGAAAACAAATATTGAATGCTTTATCTCGTGGTGAAGTAAAACTAGTCTCCCTCGGTGATCCATGGAGCATTCTATTTTCCCTCGGCTTCGCCTCGGGAAAATAGACTGGTCCATGGATCACCTCGGGAGGCTAGTTTTACTACACCACTCGAAGCATTCAATATTTGTATAATATATCCATGTTATATCCAAACCGCTGCCGGATAATACTTCAGCACCTGTGTACACTTTGCTCAAAGGGAAGAACACCATCAGTGGAATATAACATTCAATACCCAGAGTGTATGCGGTCAAAGGACTTACTTCTTCGAGTTAATTATTAGAAGATTTATTATTGTTGATTGTAAAATGGAAGATGAGGCGAGTTGTGATTTGTTTCGAGCCCTCAGCGTTTTAAAGTCCAACCTTTGGTATTATATATGGCTTGCAAATCAATTGTAACCTTACTATGAAATTAGTGATCTCTTCAAGACCAACCTTTCGTTCAAGTATGGTTCACTTTAATCATTTCAATGATAAATCCTTTGAATAAAGTTAGGTAACTTGACAGTACTCGTGTGGAAATGAAATTAACAAGTCTGCATAATTATTGTAGTGAAATTATGCAATTGACCTTTAATTATTACTTTAGAATGTCCAGTAGCCTCCAGATTGACACAGGGAAACCGAGGAATTCCAACGATAAAGCCCTAAAACCACTTACCAAAATCAAGGTGGCACCGCGTTAACTATACGGTACACATCGGTGTTCGTGCTCAATTTCATAGCCAGACATACTGCAAACTGACCAGTCGCCACAATGCCCTGAAATCTGCTTTTATGTCCGATGCTTATCAGTTGAATGGAGAGTAACTGAAATGCTGAAAACAGCGATCCATCGAAAGCAAAAATGGTAACTACTCTCGTGCGGCATTTTGTCTAACTTTAAGTATACGTTCTGACATACTGTGTTTTGTTATACCTCAAATCGCTGCACTTCATGAACTTAACATCAAAAGTGCATTCCAGGTATAAACACTAATTACTCTTTGGCATTTGAATATTTATGCCTCTATACCTTGCACGATGCATTTAAGTGGTACTCAAGACAGTCATTGCTTGTTCGACAAATAAAAGACGTTTAGATTTAGTATTTGTGATGTTAAAAAACGATTTCGTATTGAATTCGACTATCAAGCAGTTACCTCTGACTTAACCTAAACCTATCGGTTAATAGACCAAGTCCTAATGACGTTATGGCTTTGTTTGCATATGCGCTTAATTTCCTATGGGAGCGAAGTCGGGACGCCAGACAAAGTAGGGACCGTCTGACACATAGGAAAGCGCACATGTAAACAAAGCGTGACGTCATTAGGTCTCAGGCCTATTGACCTGTAGTCAGCGAAACACAATATGGATCACTTAACTATTCAATAATAAGTATATTGAGAAAAAGTATGATAATTTGTGTTAAATTAACTGCGGGGCCTCCTCGTAAGGCAACAAATTCATGTAATTATGCACTTATCTGCATAATCATCGAAGTGGATTATGCAGTTGATTTTTAATTATTGAATTTTAATGTACAGTATCCTTCAGTTCAGTATAAAGGCTTGTATAAAGGCTTTTGAATAAAGGCTCCTTGTCGTGACTAGTCTGTCGTTAAATAATATCCCTGGACATCTTGAAAAGAGAGTTGAAATCCCGTTAACTTCACTAGTTCTTTCACTCAGACCACGAACTATTTGTCTGTGCTTGGTGTAGGCGCCTTGATCGTGTTTTTTGATAAGTGCTGTGATGCCTTCGAATTCAGTGAAAATCGAAGCTCATCATCACCACACAAACTTCACGTTATATAGTGGTAAACGTTATTACCATTTTGCAGGATCTTCTTGATAGGATCCAACAACGAGCTATTAATTTGTTAGGACTGGACCAGGCATCACCCCTAGAGCCTCAAGGTCTGTGGCAACTTCGTTCCCCATGGGTACGATCTCGCTGTGCGCCATGTTGGTTCCCATTACCAAGGCTGCCGTGCGCGATCCTGTTTGCTCCACAAACAAAAACTATACATATTTTCTAGATTTTCTTAGACTAGTGTTTCCTTAAGCAGACCGGCAGCTGAACCCCTTTGAGAACATTCCAGGTCTGCTCATGTTAAATGCACATATTTGGCGCGGTACAAAAATGGGGGTTTCCGAAGGAAGCTGTCCCCACACATACCAATCATGATTTAAACCGTAGTCGCTGCTAATTTACTTTCAATATTCATTGGGTTGTCATACAAACTCTCCTATGATTAACCGTTCTGTCAGATAATGCAGTAAAACGGGTTATTTTTAGGACGTTCTTCACGTTCCTAATTATTTTAATGTATAGCACAATTCAGGTAAATGCATTTCGCTTCAACAGGGGCCACATTAACGAGAGACACACTATATGTGAATGTAAAAATAGCGGCACATTCTATGTGACTGAAACTTTAAGAATGACAAAATGATGGATACTCTGACGGACGAGTTAGAGAACACCAATATTTATTTAACATTTTGGTGCACATCAAGTTTGACCTCCACCAAAGTATAATTTGTATGTATTAATAAAAGTTTATTAATTTTAAATGGTGAGTTCGTTTTAATTTGATGAATAAGTTTGAAATTAAATATTAAATTTAATATTTTAAATAGAATACAACCAAGCAACATGATGGGAAACACCAATGACGATGTGAAAGAAAGACGTCCATCGTGATTATGCTTCAATAAAGAAGAAAAAAATTGAAAAATTTCTCTTAAGGACGTTGCTTTAAAATTAGTACCCAATAAGTATAAATTATTAATCACAATATGTATCTTATCTACTCTAATTCTATATATCGGTATGTGCTGGTTTAATTTTTGTTGTTTTCCTTTGTGTTTTTATTTACCTAATTATGAGATCATTTTTTTTCGCGAGAGGGGCACTGCTGCTTTTGATGGCCAGTTTAGTGACAATTTTCTTCACGTGAAGAGCAGTACTGTTTTTAGGGGCCAGTTTTCAATCTTGAGAGGGGCCACAATTTTAATGTCGCGAGCGGGGCACTATGCTTTCGAATGGCAGTTTT